ATGTTATAGCAGTCTTGGATGATGACCCAGCACATGTTCATTTTAAGAACACTTTCACTGCAAATTTGACAAACTGCAAAGATACCAATATGAAATTTCTAAAGATAGCTACAGCACTTGACCCAAGATTTAAGAATCTGAAGTGCCTTCCAAAATCTGAGGGACACGAGGTGTGGAGCATGCTTTCAGAAGTCTTAAAAGAGCAACACTCCAATGCGGAAACTACAGAACCCTAACCACCAAAAAAGAAAAACAACCTTCTGCAGGTGGCGTCTGATTCAGATGATGAAAATAAACATGCTTTGGATCGTTATCTAGCAGAATCTGTCATCAGCATGGATGCATGTCCTCTGGAATGGTGGTTGAAGCATCAGGGGACATAATCTTTAGCGCATCTGTCACATAAATATTTTGCGGCGCCGGCTACAACAGTGCCATGCAAACGCCTGTTCTCACTTTCAGGTGACATTATAAACAAGAAGCAGGCAGCATTATCTTCTGCAAATGTAAACACACCTGTTTGTTTGAGCAATTGGCTGAGCAAGAAATAGGACTGATTGGACTTGTAGGCTATAAAGTTTGACGTTGTAGAAAATGTAGAAAACATCCAAAAATATTTAAATAAATGGTATTCTATTGTTTAATCACACAATTTTTTTAATCGTGTGATTAATCACGATTTTTTAAAATTGCTTGACAGCCCTACATTCAATAAAAAGATAGAAAAGCAGTTAATGGAAATCTATTATTCAGACATTTGAATTCAGCACTGAAAATGAATTAAGAGTCTCAAATGCGTATTTTGGAATACAGAATTGTTAGAGAATTAATCAAATCTAAATGAATATTTAATTTGTAATAGTTATATTTATTGGTAGTCAAGATTTTCAGAAATCAGCATAGAGATGGAACATCAGAGATTTCTCATAGATGGAAGGAAGAACTACATAGATAATTCGAGGGAAGACGGAGTTTGCTGTATAGGCGGGATAAATTTGTATCAAATACTACACAGGTTACTTAATTACATTTTCACACCACGCAGTACGGGATACAATTCCACTTGGCAGTGTATATTAAATGTGATATACCGGTATATAAAAGTGGACATGGCCACTCTTTGCATACAGTTTGAAAATGTAGAAAAATTGCAACTTTTTGGCTCATGTAATCCCTATGTTTTAATATAACTTCTAAATGAAAAAAAAAAATCTCTTTTGTTTACTGTCATTTGACAGGGTTATTTGTTTTCACCCAAATATGAATATAGCTCAGTAATGTCTTCTATAAAGGTCTGTTTTTACCCACTGATATTACAGGATTCCAGTACACAGAGGGATAATGATTTATATCTCAGAGGTAGGGGTGGTTAAGATGGTGGCAGTGCTTAAATTCTGGTGTAGCCCCACAATCACCTAGCAGGGCTGGATAGGTTAAGGTGTCCATCTCCTCAGGGACCACATGGTTGTGTTTATATTTTCCCTCCAGAAAACTAAGGGCCCATGAAGGACAATGGGAGTTTTGCTATTGATGTGAGTGTGGACTGGCCCTGGGAACTCTGATTAGCAGTGCTGACTGGTCAATGAACAGCAAGGGTGTTCTCCAATTCACTCTGGACTTTGTCCAGAAAGTTCTCAGTGTGATGCCTTGGGGGGTTAGGGTTTTCCGAGGGGCCCAGCATTGGCATGATTCCCGAGCTGAGCTAGACCAACACTAAGCACTGTTGAAAGTCTCACCCTAAGTGAATGCCCCTGCAAGAGCTCTATCCCCACCACTGTTATTCCCTCCCATTTGCCTCATTAGAGAACCTCATTTTCCCCACCTATCTAAATCTCTGCTGCTAGTGTTGCCAGATGCTGTTCCTCCCTGCTGGAAGAATCAGGGAAACCAGGTATGTTGGAGGAATGAAGCAGGACCCTGATCCTCCTGAAACTCCCAGCAGTAAAAGACTTTCTTGCCCACAACAGCACTCCTTAGAGGCCACAGAGAGCCAGGAAACTGGTCCTGAAGAGGAAAATACACCCTCGATAAGAGTTTCCTACAGGTTAACATTTAAAGTCACTTACACAACTTTTCTCCTGTGAAGACACCTGTAAAAAAATAAATAAATAAATAAATACATTTTTTTTTATATAAAGACACTCATGAAACAGTCAAATGGATCAAAACATTTGGAAACAGCTGCCAGATTCTGGGTGCATGAAACCAAATAATTATAGCATCAACCACAATCTTATCTATAAAGTAATTTTCTTTATTTAAGTTAAAGTTTTCAAGGATGGTTTCCATCTATAAAATGAACAAAGTACAAGCTCTGTACAGCAGATCCAACTGAAAAGACAATTTCCAAACTATATTTTGAAAATTTGCAAAACAAGCTCACATGTACCATCATTTTTGCTTTGAAGACTATAAGAAAAGATCTTTCAGAGAAGACTCCATCACAATTTGATTCAGGGGTTCTTAGGAATTTTACCTTTCTTAAAAAGGGGCTCATAATAATCCTGATACTTTAAAAATAATTAAATCACAGTAAATAACTTTGGCACACAGTCATGTAAACATATCTAACAAAAGGATACAACCTCTTTTCTGTTCTGCGCCCACGACACATACAGTGATGCTGTCTATTGTCCAGCTCCAGACGCATCTGCATAGCTTCCATAGGGGTTTAAAGATATAGTTCTATTTCACAATATGTAGGATGACATTTAAAGACTTGGTTTGCAATCAAGATGGGCGGAGGGGCGGAATTTATAACAATTAAGACTTTTTACTAGTGATCCTGCTTAGAGGTAGAAATCAGGTCAACCTTATCCAGACTCACTCCTGATTTCAGTTAGCAGTAGCATGTCCATTTGCTAAGCTCCAAGTCACAGAGGGAAATGCAGCATAGTATGAATTTAGTGCACCTTTTAAATTCTCCTCTCTCAGAACAATTAGACCATAATGAATTTGCTGCTGAGATCAGTCTTCAAGAATTCAACGTTTATTCTCAAGAGTAGCAGCAATCCCCACCATGACTGAATCATGTCCCTCTGCAAACTCAGCTAGTTTAGGCCCAATATACACGTAAAAGTTAGGCTGACCTAGCTCCATTGCTCGGGGGTGTGAAAAACCGACACCACAGAGACCGAGTTAAGCTGACATAAGCCCCAGTATAGACACTGCTAGGTCAATGGATCAATTTTTCTGTGGACCTAGCTAACTCCCTCTAAAGCAGATTTGCTACAGTGACAGAAAAACCCCTTACATTGCTATAGCAAGTGTCTGGCTTTTGTTGTGCCTGTAGCATAGACATAACCTCAAAGGGTGTGGATGGTCAGAAATTGAAGGCTGAAAACACGTTGTTTATCCACTGCATGCCACCTTGAAACAGGCAAATGCCCAGGGTTTTTACTAGAGGAGATAAAAGGATTGAAGGGTGGCGGAAGAAGAGAGAGATCCCTCCTCTTCATGTATTTGAAGGAGAGTTGGACAGAAGGGAGAAGCGCTGATTCAATCTCTTCCCTAAGTGTTGCTGGTACACCCAAAAGGACACCTGTGTAGATCCACAAATGCATGTTATGCAACTCCAACTCATACATCAGACACATTTATGGGCCTCTTATTTCAATGTCTGTCCCGCAAAGTAAAAACCATTTTGCATGGAGAGATTCCACTTACTGTACTAAATGCAGCCAGAAAGGAAAGTGCAGCTCATGACATACTCTACTCCCAGAGACTCAGAAAAAGGAAAAGAACACTGCCATAGTACGGTTTAGTAACAATATTTCTAAATCTCTCTTTATAATCAGCCCCAGGCTGTTTGAGATCCATTATCTTACCAAACTAGATTTTACATTGCTCATCTCCAAGTTACCAATGCAGTGTTGTTTATTATTGCCAGCACCAATTCTTTGTTGTTTTTTTAATTTTAAAAACAAATGCTTCAGTGAGCTTTTAACAAATCATATAGTCTAGGCAAACGTAAGCAAGTAGATCAATGTTGGGGTCAAGTTAACTTTGACAGCATTGCTTTAATACAAAAATGATGTCAATTGGGCTGAAGCTGTAAATTGTATTTGTTCTAAGGTTAAAAACACCACTTGGCATCTGCTGGTACCCAGAGCAGAGCCTGGATCAGCTTCAAAAACTCTGTTTGGAGGAATAAAAATAAAAGTAGGATCCCCTATAGCAGGTTTATAAATTAAACAAGTGGAACTCTGCTGATCCTTGCAGATTAAAACGTATGAGGATCTTGTGCTATCTGTATACAGTGATGCTACTATTCTGTCTTATCCTGACTCATTAAGAGAAAGAAATTAAGCTGATCAGGGTCCTGCTAAAAAAACAAACTGTGCTGAACCCCGATGGCTGCACCTGTGGAAGAGCTGCACTGCTTATATATTTTTTTTTAATAAAGGAAAAAAGTATTTTAAAGACCAAGTACTAGAGAAATGTTCAACATAAATATCAAGTACAAGTTTACAGATACCCAGGGCACATGTACTGAATTCCCAGTCAGAAGAGACAATCCAAGCAATGATGTGTGCAGATCCATCAGTTTGTTCTGCTGTTTCCTCTTCCTCCTCTTGAGTTCCATAATCTCCACAGACCGTGAAGTGCTAAGAAGTAGGTCCAGTTTGCAAAGCAAAAGCATCCAGTGTTAGCATGGACATGACACACCTTCACACAGTTTTGTTCTCTCAACAGTCCAATCCACTTTCCGGTTTAAGTATGTTAATCACTTGGTTGATAATTACAAGATGAGGAAAATTGATAAACAGTTGGGAACTGATAAAATATATATATTATATATATGTATAATATATATATTTAGAGTCCATCATAGAAAAGTTCATATTCAAATATACCAATTACACATGGAAAAAACCCTTCAAAATGACACTTCAGCTTCTGGAAACCACAAATGATGATTTCTATGTAAATGGAGATTTCAATTTCTCCTAGCAGTTTATTTTCCCCAGTCTCCCTCCCCCCACCCTATTCCCCTCCCTCCTTCTGCGTGTTAAGATCCATTTTCTACTGTACATCAATTGTTTCTAGGGATGTTAATCATCTGCTGTGCAAGTACTAAACTGAAGTCAGACAGGAACTGAGAAGTCTTTACACCAGAAGGGAACTTTGCTGCACTACGTTCAGTGAGATAATTGCAGTGTTCCACGTCCCCTTGGTTCCCTTGTGTTCAGCTTTGTTCTCTCCTACTTTCAGACGAAGATGGAATACTGAGGTATATAAGTTCCGTGGAAAGTTTAAGAAATATATCAGTAATGCAATCAAAATTTTGCCCAATGTCTAGGAAACAAGATGGCATTGTGTGTAAGCCCTTCTACTGCTGTAGATTAAGTGTGAATTTCCACTGTTGCGACAGAGAAGGATTGCAGACCTCAACGGTAAGACCGCCATTTTTGGCATTTCGGCTGTCTAGACACAGATTACTGCCAACATGCCTCAGTTTAGAGTTGCTCTCAATTTGCTCCCATTTCTGGAAAAAAAAAAAAATAAAGTAATGAGCTATCCAAGTGTGGATAAAAATGTGTTTCATGTTCTGCCTTCCTAGCTCTCCGTCCTCAAATCCCTCCCCGGCCTCTGTTTGTGGTAATTCTGAATACCGAGACAATAGTTTAGATACTGTCCTTTAAGACTTGTCCAAACTATCACAAGCTATGCTAAAGCAACCATTAATCCAGCTAATACTTTGCACTAGAAATGGAGGTTACATGGAGTCATTTTGTCCAGCTCTCTCCTCAAATACATACAATCCCAATGCAGTGCCAGGTTAGAGGCCTGCAAAGCCTGCAGCTGTGGTCCCCCCGACCTGCGGGACATAGAAATATCAGCACTAACTTCAGCGCTCCCCCCCCCCCCAATATTTTAAAATTGTAAATCACAAGAACTGATCCCCAAGGCGGTCTTTCAGAGGTTGTGGAAACCATGGCCATAGATCCCTCAAATTTTTGGAACCCACCTAATTAATTTGTGGCTGTTAAAAGCAGCATTGTCCAGGGCAATGCTGAGGACTGTTGTCTGATTGACCAAGTATGGGACTAAGAACAAGGGACTCCTGTGTTCTATTTCCGGCTGACAGTTTTCCACTGTGACCCTTGTCAAGAACTCTCTTCCTTGGTTTCCCTATCTGTTAAAATAGGGATGATACTTGTCCTGCCTTTAAGTGTGGCGTTTGTGACAATAATGTTGGTAAATACTGTAACTAGAATGCCCACAAACCCTCTGACAGATGGGGACCTAGCAGCTCGCAGCCTATTCAAAGAACTGACCTTTGCCAAATTTTCTTAAATATTGGCAACTATGCAGAGACTCTGGCATAAGCAGAAGTGGTCTCCTCTCCTGGATGAGAAGACTGAGGGGGTTGGGCTGACAGAGGGAAGGGAGATACCTGAAGTTCTGACCCAAACATATTTTGTAAAACGAATCCATTAAGTTTGGTTGTACCCCCAGTTAACATTCTCACTAAATCAGGGGTGGGCAAACTTTTTGGCCCGAGGGCCATATTGGGGTTGCGCAACTGTATGGAGGGCCGGGTAGGGAAGGCTGTGCTTCCCCAAACAGCCTGGCCCCCACCCCCTCCCACTTTCTGCCCCGACTGCCCCCCTCAGAACCCCTGACCCATCCAACCCCCCCTGCTCCTTGTCCCCTGACCGCCCCCTCCCGGGACCCCCGCCCACTATCCAACCCCCCTGCTCCCTGTCCCCTGACTGTCCCGCCCCCTATCCACACCCCTGCCCCAACAGCCCCCACAGACTCCCACCCCCTATCCAACTGCTCTCTGCTCCCTGTCCCCTGACTGCCCTCCTGACCCCATCCACATCCCTGCCCCCTAACAGGTCCCCTGGGACTCCCACTCCCAACCCTCCCCGTTCCGCATCCCCTGACCGCCCACAGAACTTCCACCCCATCCAACCGCCCCCTCCTCCCTGACTGCCCTTCAGGACCCCCTGCTCCCTTACCCAACCCCCTCCCCGCTCCCCATCCCCTTACCAGCAGCAGGAGCTCTCAGCCGCGACACCCGGCCACAGCCAGCTGTGCTCCCCACGCTGCCCAGCGCGCGGCCCACGTGGCTATGGGACCGGGGACTAGGCTCCCTGGCTGGGATCTCAGGGGCTGGGCAGGACGGTCCCGCAGGCCGGATGTGGCCCACGGGCCGCAGTTTGCTCATGTCTGCACTAAATAGTATCTCACAGAAAGCAAACTCCCAGTCATGAAGTATTTGCAGAATAGTTGCTCCCTAAGCACAAAAGCACAGAGGCTCGGAGGAAAGAAAAAACCATGGTTTTGCAGAGCAGACTTCTCTATGACTATATGAAAGGGATTTGCTGCTGAGATGACTCTGCAAATGTGATTTTACTTGTGCATGGCAACTGTGCATGGCAACTTGTAGCTTTCCACCCATATTCCGTAATGCACTTTAAGAAATTACATACTCATATACCTTAGTAAAAAGACTTCAATAGACAATAGAGCCAAACACAGCCCTCAGTTATACCTATGCAACCTCAAAGCTTCTTAGGGGTTTCAAGGGTATAAATGAGGGCTCAACTTGCCCTAAATTTGGCCTCCCAGGTTACAATCTTCAGAAGGGAGGAGTTACACACTATTTTCTCCATCTAGAGGCCATGGTCTCTGGAATGCGGTCTGCCATTACATATCCCTGCATGTATCTTTATCTTTCCTCAGTTAAGGCCTCAAGACTGTTTCCTTTTTATGATCGTGTTGTTCCAGTGTTTTAGGTTTACTCAGTTTGCCAGCATTTAGATGCTTATGGGCACAGTGCCTTGATTATTAAAAAAATATATATGTTTGTTTTAACACCACCAAGAGACCTTCTGAGAGGGGTCACTTTTAGCAGGCTACCAAGAGATTTTGACAGCCCTTTTCTAAATAACTACCCTCTATATAATTTAGTGGAAAAAATGTAGCATCCATATACCAGTTCCACTAATACTGTCTTTTCCAATGGAGTCCTTTCTGAGTTTCACATCCATCTCAAATCAAGTTATCATCAATGCCTCTCTGCGGCCACACAAATGGGTGAAGCGCTCAACACACAAGCATGGCCTCACTTCATTTCTACTGCAGCTCCCACCTGTCCTGATGGCAGAGAGAGTCATCTGCATCCTGATACATACATACATGGGGCAGGGAGCAAACTATTGGTTTGTACAGGCCAAGAACCTCAGCAGGTTAAGTATGCATGTGTGCGCGCACACATGGAGATTTTTGATTTTCCAGTAGAACTGCTTGCACAGTGAGTTACATACATTATGTACTCACCTGTCTACTGTCATTTTCTCTGCAGCCCTGGAGTTTTATTAGTGAACTAGGTGCTCGGTCCACAACAGTAAGGCACAAATCCATATGTTTCACTGACTTGTCCTTAGTTAAGGCCCATTCCTGGAACACAAGGAAATAAAATGATATATATATATATATATATATATTTGTGAACATAGAAACGTGCAAAAACATATGCACACATGCTCAGTTGGCCTATGTTAGGCTCCTGTAAAAAGGCTCAGAAGAGACTTTCTGTAACCAAGAGCCCCACTTCGGATTTAAAGCATCAAGTGTTTGAACAGTGCTTTTTCCACACACAGTTTTAAAAGAAGTGTAAACTAATATTCCAAACGGACAACTTTTTGTTATGACTGGTCAGATTCAGAGCCCATTTTAGCTGGAACCATATTGAAACATGGTCCTCTAGAACCCCAATGTAGCTGAGGACTAATTTACTGTGAAATTGCATCTTGCACCTCCGTCTCCCTAGGCTTCAAAGCATGACCCTCATCTCAAAGAGTCATCTATGCAGCTATTTTTAGAATGCTAGTGTGGGCCCCGCCAAAGCAAATCTGCCCACCTGGGCTCAAAACACTGAATAGACATACCCTCCGTGCCTCAGCATAACTCTGAAACATTGTTGCCTTGTGCTCCCTCTGCTGGCTTTGATGCTAGGTTTGGTCTCTATGCTCTTGTGACACATGGCCAAAAAGAGTTAAGCAGCTCGCAGGCTAATTTACCCAGATTCAACCTTTGGAGACAGGTTAGAAAAGTATGTAAATGGTAATTAGGGCCATTCCATGTTAGATGGGCTAGAACTTTGAAATGCAAACCTGTATTGTTAGAGAATGACATTAGAGGTAATACTAATTGTATGTGTTTACTTATATCTCGTTAGATGTTAGCCCTGTAAACAGACAGTTCCTGTCTATTACTATAGCTATTGATTCAGCGACCAAAAGGGAATATTAACATTTAGATGAATCTTGGGTGAAATAATGTCACTGTCTATATCAGTGGTTTTCAAACTTTTTTTCTGGCGACCCAGTTGAAGAAAACTGTTGATGCCCGCGACCCAACGGAGCTGTGGATGAGGGGTTTGGGGTGTGGAAGAGGCTCAGGGCTGGGGTAAAAGGTTGGGGTGTGGGGGTGAGAGCTGCAGGGTGGGGCTGGGAATGAGGGGTTCAGGGTGTGGGAGGGAGCTCTGGGCTGGGGGTTGGGGCATGGACTTCGGGTGTGGGCTTACCTCCGGCAGCTCCTGGTCAGTGATGCAGCTGGGGTGCAGAGGCAGGCTTCCCGTCTGTCCGGACCTGCTGCTGGCCGCTTCCAGGGCGCAGTGCAGTGCCGGAACAGGTAGGGACTAGCCTGCCTTAGCTGAGCAGCACCGCCGACAGGACTTTTAACGGCCCAGGCGGCGGTGCAGTTCTGAGTCGCAATCCATGATTTGAAAACCACTGGTCTATATGTCTCTTTAAAGTTTGAGATAAACGGCTTAATGGATAAATTACCTTATGTTAATCCAGGTAGTTAATTTCCAGTGATGTTTAGGAAATAGGTTACTTCAAAAGCCTATTGTTCACCCAGGACTGTATCGTCAAGAGGCTGCCCGAAAACTGTATAAAAACTCTTGGGACCTGATCCTGTCATCTCAGATCTGCTTGATGCTTTATGCGGGGAAGCTTGAGTCGTAAGACAGATCTCCAGTCCCACCTGGATCACCCTGGATATCAACATTGGACTATAGACTATGGACTAATTCTGAAAGAACTCTTTGCCACTACAAAGCTCACCATCTCTACTATGAAACTGAACTCAGAACTGTACTCATGTCGGTATGTATACTGATCTTTTAACCAATACTTATTCTCTCTTTTCTTTAATAAAGTTTAGTTTAGTTAATAAGAATTGGCTGTAAGTGTGTATTTGGGTAAGATCTGAAATATTCACTAAGTTGGGAGGTAATGTGTCCGACCCTTTGGGATTGGTAGAACTTTCTTATATGATGAATAAGATTTTCAGTGATCCTCATCATATTTGACTTGGATGTCTGGGAGGAAGCCCAAGGGTGGGTTGCTATAAGGGAACTGTGTTGTTGGCTTCTGGGTAACCAGTGAGGTATTATAGAAGCTATTCTGTGCTGATTTGGTAAATCTAAATATTGGAATATCCACCAGCTTTGAGGATTGTCTGCCCCATTCTTTGCAGTTTGCCCTAACTGAGTAACCTCAGTGTAGCCCCTCTGGGACCCTTGTCACAGCTCCTGATCACTCCCCAGTCTCTGGTTTCCTTCTTCCTCCCAGGCTAATTCCCTCTACCATTGAAAGCCACCTCTTCACCTTCAATTCGCTTCTTAATCAGGCTTTTTAAGAATAAAGTCTGCTCTTGGTGCCTGAGGAGGATTCTGAGCTGTGTAATATGAGACCTAGTTGCACAGGACTGAATTTATTAGCCATAACATTAACAACTATTTTGCAAGCAACACATATGACCGGAAGAGATTAGCTAATTAGATCATCAAATTTTTCATTTGATTTATCTTCTGATTTAACTGCACTTTTGGCATGCATTCTCTCTTGCAACTCCACTGGATTAAGAATGACTCAGTCAATTTCCTCATGAGAATACGCACAAAGAATAATCAGAATTTATCCAATCTCCTACCATTACAAACTATTATCATCATACAGATTTAGTAAACAGCTGCTAGCAATTCATCAGCTAAAGACATTGAAATTACACATCATAGGTGTACAGGAAATCATATGACTGCACAAGAACATTGTTAACTTCCCACGATCCCTTTGTGAACCACAAACCTACCTAAAATTCAGACTCTAAACTGAAAGTTTAGAACAAACTAAATACTCAAAGTATTTTTAAAATGTGTAGTTTCAGGTAACAGAAATGTGACTTTTTGCTGGATATTTCACTCCAATCCTTATGTGATTAACTGCCATTGTTTAAGAGCAAAGTAAAAATAATGGTTATTTGTTAGGACTTTGATTTAATATGTAATGGAACCAGTATTTTAAAACTCTCATGTGAATTTCTGAACATTAAAATGCACACACCCTCTGGGAGATCCACATCTGATGCTTAATAGAAATAAGCAGTACCAGCTAGCTGGTAACGCTTGTTACTTCTGTGAACCACGTAGGCTCTCTAAAAATGTATTTTTTTTTAAATTTTCACTAATTTTCTGACTCTAGTTATGTTTCAGGAGGGCTCCAATGAACTCTAACTGAGGCTACATCTACACAGTGCCTCAGCATGTACTATGTAGATGTGAACTGCAGAGCCCACCAAAGTGCTGCAATCTAACTTCCCCGAGTGCATGCTGCTGGCAAATTCAAAAGTACCTAAGCCTACGTTACCATAGTCCACTTTCTAACAGGACTATGCTAACGAAAGCTAGGTACTTTTTAATTCACACATGCAGTGTCCACAGAGGTAGAAGCTCCAGAGGAACTATGGTGGCATAACATCACAACTGGAGAGAAACAAGGATATTCCTCGTCAATAGTTGCGTCTTAAGGCTCAGAATGTATTCCCTTTGGAAAGCTAAAGGGAAACAATTTTGTAGGCTTGCACTGCCTGACAGCCTTGGCATTCTAGATTAGTGGTTTCAAACAGCGGGTCGTGACCCAGTATTGGGTCACAGAATGTAAGGCACTGGGTCGCGGCGACTCTGGTCAGCACTGCCGACCAAAGTCCCAACGGCGGTGCTGCCCGGCCCCTTCCTGCACCCCAAACCCCTCATCCCCAGCCCTACCCCAGAGCCTGCACCCCCCCCAAACCCAGAGCCCCCTCCTGCACCCCAAACCCCTCATCCCCAGCTCAGTTGGGTTGCAGGCATCAATTTTCTTCAACTGGGTCACCAGAAAAAAAGTTTGAAAACCACTGTTCTAGATGCTTTACAGTTAAGTACTCAAATCAGCCCAATGGGGGACTCAGTAAAATCTTTCCCCATTGTCTGCATATAAAACTTTCCTTTGCATAGCTGTTACTTAAATAATACAAGCCTGATTAAAACTGAAAAGCCTTCTATCATTCCTTGAAGATTACCAGACACTGACAGACAGAGAGGGGGCAAGTTAGAAAGGAGAAGGCAAAACAAGTGGTAGAGTATTCTTCCAGGCTCCAACCCCACATTGCCAGAATGAGGCAATTCTCACAGTAGATTACGCAGATATTCAAAATACAATCCTGCAGCTCTTCTGAGCTCCACTGGGCTTGGCTTCCCTTGGTTGAGCTCAGATGCCCCAGTGGGCTTCCTTGAGTGTGGCTCATTCTTGATAGGCAGAAATATACAGAGGGATTTCTCTCAAACTCTACTCACTAGTGGTTCCAAACTGAGCTGTCACTCTGAGTAGATTCTGCTGCAATGTATAAAGCAGTTCACACCTTGGTTCATATTTTTGAGGTTTTCTTCACAACCATAAGAGCTAAAGAAGATTCTTTCTCAGACCAAAACAGAAAAAAAAACCTTTGTCCAATTGTGAACTTACAGAAGCTGTACAGCTTCATTGGAAGTTTCAAGTTTCACATGCGGACATTAGCTTCTATCATATTTTCTAGGGCTATCGATTAATCACAGTTAACTCACGCGATTAACTCAAAAAAATTAATCACGATTAAAAAAATTAATTGCGATTAATTGCCATTTTAATCGCACTGTTAAACAATAGAATACCAATTGAAATTTATTAAATATTTTGGATGTTTTTCTACATTTTCAAATATATTAATTTCAATTACAACAGAATACAAAGTGTACAGTACTCACTTTATATTATATTACAAATATTTGCACCATACAAATGATAAACAAAATTAGTATTTCAATTCACCTCATACAAGTATCGTAGCGTAACCTCTTTATCGTGAAAATGCAACTTATAAAATGTAGATTTTTTTTGTTACATAACTGCACTCAGAAACAAAACGTAAAACTTTAGAACCTACAAGTCCACTCAGTCCTATTTCTTGTTCAGCCAATAGCTAAGAGAAACAAGTTTGTTTACATTTACGGGAGATAATGCTGCCCTCTTCTTATTTACAGTGTCACCTGAAAGTGAGAACAGACTTCGTATGGTACTGTTGTAGCCGGCATTGCAAGGTATTTATATGCCAGATATGCTAAACATTCGTATGGCCCCTTCATGCTTCGGCCACCATTCCAGAGGACATGCTTCCACACTGATGACGCTCGTTAAAAAAATAATGTGTTAATTAAATTTGTGACTGAACTCCTTGGGGGAGAATTGTATGTCTCCTGCTCTGTGTTTTACCCACATTCTGCTATATATTTCATGTTATAGCTGTTTCGGATGATGACCCAGCATATTGTTCATTTTAAGAACACTTTCATTGAAGATTTGAAAAAAAGGTACCAATGTGAGATTTCTAAAGATAGCTACAGCACTTGACCCAAGATTTAAGAATCTGAAGTGCCTTCCAAAATCTGATGGGGACGGGGTGTGGAGCATGCTTTCAGAAGTCTTTAACAAGCAACACTCCGATGCGGAAACTATAGAATCTGAACCGCCAAAAAAGAAAATCAACCTTCTGCTGGTGGCATCTGACTCAGCTGATGAAAATGATCATGCATTGGTCTGCACTGCTTTGGATCGTTATTGAGCAGAACCCATCATCAGCATGGATGCATGTCCTCTGGAATGGTGGTTGAAGCATGAAGGGACATATGAATCTTTAATACATCTGGCATGTAAATATCTTGCAATGCTGGCTACAACATTGCCATGCGAAAGCCTGTTCTCACTTTCAGGTGACACTGAAAATAAGAAACAGGCAGCATTATCTCCTGCAAATGTAAACAAACACGTTTGTCTCCGCAATTGGCTGAACAAGAAGTAGGAATGAGTGGACTTGTAGGCTCTAAAGTTTTAAATTGTTTTATTTTTGAATGCAGTTATTTTTTGTACATAATTCTATATTTGTAAGTTTAAATGTCATGATAAAGAGTTTGCACTACAGTACTCGTATTAAGTGAATTGAAAAATACAATTTTTTATTTTTACAGTGCAAATATTTATAATAAAAATATAAAGTGAGCACTGTACACTTTGTATTCTGTGTTGTAACTGAAATCAATATATTTGAAAATGTGGAAAACTTCCAAAAATATTTATATAAATAGCATTCTATTATTGTTTAACAGCATGATTAATTGTGATTATTTTTTTTTAAATGAATTCTGTTTTTCTCCGACAATTGCTTGACAGCCCTAATATTTACCCTTTCCTCTCAAGACCAGTTTAAGTGGAGAGCCCCAAAGGATGAGTATTTTCACACAGATGACAGAAAATATCTCAGTGTGGGTGTGGGCAACAGTAACTCTCAGTATTAGCGCTATGCCCTTTCTGCTGTGCCAACGTTATTTATCAAGTACACAACAATGGTTGCTACGTTCTCAAACAAAGATATTCTCATACTTAAATGACTGGCTTTTTGAATTTAGTGTCAAGGCTCATTCTGTATAGGGCAAGTTTGCCACAGCAGTCAGTCTCTGCCCTGTACCCACTTGGGAGATTCCCAAGACAGTTTTCAAAACATTCACTGAACAAAATATCAGATGCAGGGTCTAAACAAGAGTCAAGATTTAGTCTTAATTTTTACAGAAAACTCTTTCTGGAGTACTGGTACCTGAGCAATCCCATCCCCTTCAAGCTGTGATAACTTCCACTGGGAGACAAAATCAGGAAAAAGCTGGCCTAGGATCAGGGAAGTACAAAGGAGGCTTAAAGTTTTTTTTCAACTCTCCTCCTGAGTTGTACTGTGTGCTCTTTGGCTGTAGTTGCAGCTACACAAGGTCATCAAATATAACAGCACTTGGAAAAATTTCTCTCTCGTCTCTGGAGAAGAGACTGAAATTGAAGATGCCTCTAAAGCTGATGGTATGGTAGGAGTGCATTCAGATTCATACGATGCTTTTTCTGGAATTGTTTGTATTTTTTAGTTTTGTGATCCTGGTCAGATTTTCATTTTGATTTCCCCCTCCCCCCCAATTTAATTTAAAGGGATGCGATTAATAGTTTAATGTGGTAGAAAATGGACTGATTAGCAAATTAACTATATATCCTGTTAATTATTTATTAACAATGTTAATATCAATTTAATTGTATTTGAGTTCTATTTGAAAACCATTTGTGTACAAAACCAGCACAGGAAACAAGAGGAAAAGCATATGCAAGTAGTTTGTTAATGGTGCCTGTAAGACACCACTGTATAATTAGATCCTTTGCAGTAATTAATGTTTCCATTCAGTTCTTGTTTACTGCTTTGACACACTTGCAATTAGTTTTTAAAAGAAAGATTGGAAAGGATTTACTGAAACCACATCTTTACTGTAAATAAGTTGGATGTGACTTTTGGTGCCTATGCTTTCTGAAAGAACATGTCTGGGATTTAAGAAAGATTTTTTTCACACTCTGCAACCCCCCACTGGGAAAGGGAACAGCACCATATAAAAAAATATTTGTTTTTTCCCCTTGTCTTCAGGACATTTACAGAATATGGCGATATAAACTCTCAGTCCAATCTATTATTTTTTTGTAGACATGCCCACAGGAAACAGGTTTTCATAAAGATGTAACTTTTGGTGAGGATAGGAGGGATAGGGCTATAGAGTAAGAGTGACAATTGAGATGTGGAGTGGATTATCTGATCCCCATTTTCCATCTCTGGCCTCTATGATTCTAAAACTCAAAATAAGAAGTTATTTGAGGGACAAGTGATTTAGCCAACCTTGTTGATTCAACCTTCCCAACACAACGTGTAGTACACATTGACTGCCTGCCTCAAATTCTGTATTTTTCAAAAAGACTATGGGTTTTAAAAAAATAATTTAATAGCATACAGACCTGGTTTCCCCCAGCATTATGACATTCATAAACTCCAACAACACCATCTGCAAAATGGCCCAAAGTGTCGAGGCAATTGGTACCCTGCTGCAAAGCCCCAAAAGCTATATCTTGATGATCCGGTACCCTAAATATAAAACAAGAAACATCTGTTTTAATTCAATTTCTCTCTTGCTTTAACTTTGACGCCCTTCCTTTACTTAACGGCCTTCTAGATGAGAGGCAATCGGCAACAGGTAATGATTTTATTTTGGTACACAAGCTATATTGCACTTCCCACAACATTTTGAAGAAGTTACAAGTAATTATTTGGTCAAGAGACTCTGCTCTCATAACTAAGTGGTCAAAGGTTTTCAGTGGATTTGTAGGCTAAAAGATTGAATATGAGTAAAATATACTGGAGAACTACAATGAACATGAGCATTAGAGAGTCACATCACAAGTGTGGCTGGCAGCACTGTGTGTAGTTAAGGTTGTATAACACTTTCCATTGTGTAACTCTTTCCATTATAAATCCCTCTTTTGTGTAGCTCATGGCTTTGTCAAACTTTAACCAGTGAGGCAGAAATTTGGCATGCTGCAGTTCTGCCCCAGGCTGATTTTTTTCTTTAAGTTTCAGTAAAAAAAACAGTTCTACCATTTCTGAAAATGAAGTTTGACAAAGCAGCATATTTTCGACAATGTTCACAAATCCAACTGTTCCTTTGAGAAACTAATGCCTCCATGCTTTGGAGCAGGGACTTGAGATTTGTCAGAGTCTCTGTGGCATTAAGGAGCTGCCTTTTGTGGTCCCCATGAAAAATTCACTGAGATTTGGTGACTTTATAGAGCACAGAATATCATGGTTTATTATTTGTACTACCATAGTGCCTAGGAGCCCCAATCCTGGGACAATACCCTATTGTGCTAGACATGGGCGGCGGGTATAACAGACCAGGCGCTTTATTATGCCCCATGCAGGTTCCGGGGCGGCACCTGTTACTCAGCTTCCTGGGTTCATCAGTCATCTCTTTGGACTCCAGGGAGATGACTGATGGACCCAGGAAGCGGAGTAGCAAATACCGCCTCCTCAATGGCCCCAGAATCTGCATGGGGCATATCAAATGCATCTTTGGACGAGAGTGAGGCTTTTCTCTGCAGTGGCTTGGGGTCTGGAGAAGGGTGGCGTGGTTGCAGCTGGCACGGGGCAGCCCCGCGCAGGTTGTGGGGGGTGGGGGGGAGGGGAGAGAACACAACATTGGGGCACCTCTGGGCAGGGCTCTCGGAACTCTCCGGCTGAGGGGGGACTTGTGGCCCTGGCCGTGGGGGTCTTGGGGCTCTGGCTGTGGGGGTGGGGAGGGAGAGGGTGGGCAGAAGGGGCAGAGCCAGGGGCTAGCCTCCCCTAAGGGGGGCTCCACCTGCCACCCATGGTGCGAGTGTAACCCACACACCTCCTCGGTGTGGTGTTCTGTTCCCTCTGGTGGCACTGAGACCACTTAGAGAGCTACGGCTATAGAGCAGACGCATTAATCTAAGAACCATATGGCTTTGAGCTCAAGCAGTAGAGGCTCATGCACTAAGCTCCAGAGGCCCTGGGTTCGATCCTACCCACCGATGACTGGGGTCTGTTGGTGTTACACTAGGTGCTGTACAAATAGAGACCAAAGACAGTCCCTGCCCCAAGAATATTACACATTCAGTACAGGCTTTTTAGGGACTGGCAGCAAAGATTTCCAAAGATTCCATCTGCATTGAGCATGCTTAAAAATAAATAAATACAAAAATAAAAAAAAATGCTGAGCAGGACTTATACTGCAATTGTTTCCCAGGGCTGCTGAGCATCAGGCACCAGAACCAGGAGCACAGAATATTTCTCCCGTGTTCCCTATGTTCACCCTGATGGCACCCAGTCAGCACGGAAGGGGAGAAGAAGACAGCCTGACTCAAACGCAGAGGAATAAACATGGATATGGACAGGGGCATGGGGGAATAGGGACAGATGGCAGGATAACAGAGTGGGGAGGCGGCGGCCTTGGGTTATCCTGCCTTTTCTACTTCTTCCGCCTCCCACATCCTGCTCCTACTGCCTCTGCATTCTACCAGTTTCTCCAGGCACTCAGGTCAACCCTGTGTCCCCCAGTCCTCTTCTTTAGATGAGGGATAGGCTCCTGCCTCCCTTCACACCCATCCCACTGAGCACTGAATAAGGCAGATATTCTGTGGAAAATATAGTGTGAGATCACTTAAATACTATCATAATGTACACAATATAAGAGGGTTCAATTAAAGTTGCACACGCAAACTTAACTGTGGAATTCTTTAATTTTTGTGCACTTGATTTTGCAATGTTAACATTTTTTAATGTAGATTTGTGAATATATATGTATTAATGTTACAGAATGTGCCAAAACTGGAACCCTGAATCCAAATCCTTGTCAGAGCTAGAGGATGAACTGCACCTTGGTCCCCCTAGTCCACCTTTAGTGCACCTTGACAGGCCAGCTTCCTGCACCTCACTCTGGGCGAAACCAAGCAGTCCAACCACCTTGGGATTGGGTCTCTAACTTGCAATCCCCAGTGGTTCCCAACCATGTTCACACCAGAAGCCCAAACTCATTTTTGGCACCTGTAAGAGTTTCCCTTCGGGAGCCCATGACAACACAAGTTTGCAGTGACACAGAAATTGCATCTTCAAAACAAGGCATTATTTATTCATTCTTCAAAAGTACAAAGCACACAGATCAAAAGATAAAACAGAAGACCTACACACGTGGGTATTGCTTATAAAAGCTGGCAAGGAAAGTTTAAGATGTAAGACCCCTCTGCCCTGCTGATTCTCTCTCTGGCAGGGAGAAGCAGACTACATTCCTTTGTGTGTTTGCTAGACTGTCCACTTTCCATTGACACACCCTGCGCAGTCTCTCCTAGCTCACCCAAACTCCCTCCCTTTTCTAAAGTCTTGGAGGTTTAGGATCCCCCAAGATCCCAGGCTCTAGCCCTGGGAAGAGTAAACCTTTCTAGTTTGGATGAAGCCAGACAATTTCTTCCCTGTTGATGGTCCAGCAATTGTTAACTCCTTTGAAGCTGTTTACCCCAGAGGTCTTATTTTTGTCACTGTTTCATTCCTGGTGGGTTACCCCAGCAACTTCCTTTGAGTTAACTATGCATTCAGGCAGGATAATCTTACCCAGATAAACAGATGCATATGATTTTTTTTTATATAGATAGATAGATAGATAGATAAAAAAATCATATGCATCATATATATATATATATATATATATATATATATATATATATAAAAAAAATGTGAGAGAGAGCGAGAGAGAGCGAGCGAGCGAGAGCGCGCGAGTGATTTCCCAGTTTCTCACCACTTGTAGTCAGATTATTTATTTATTTAAAGGCCAGAAGACCACCCACAGAACACAGGATATAAAATCTCATCTAGTAATTCCTGCACAGAACCCACCCCTATGGTTTTGATTCCAGGTTGGATTCAAAATTGCAATGGTTGTAAATTTTTATTCTAGTTTGGCTGCAACTGAAATCTTGACATTTTGGCCCCAAAGCCTTGAAAAGACAGGTCGAGAGTTTATGGCACAACTGAACAAGTAGCTTAGTGTAAAATCTAACCTGGATCTGAACAATCCCTTGAGCTCTCCAACTTTTAAGGAAGGTTCATTTTTAAAAAAGAGCCATTTATTAGAAAAGAATGAGGGTCTGGACACTGACTTTACAAATGAGGTTTAAGCTGTAATTAACTGCTAATATCCAAAATAAATTAAGCTAATATTTTAAAAGTTTGACATGGTAAAGAATTACAGGTTAATAATGCTTTATTTACTGAAGCCTGGGGAATAGTATTTGTTGTAAGTTACCTATAAGCCTTCATTGAGGATCCTTCCACTAAAATTTAGCATTGCCATCTTGTGGTAAAATTCAAGATGGTGACAGAACAAAGCTACAAAATGCCAAATGTATTAGCTGCTTGAGGACTTGCAGGAAAGTATGGGTAATCTTAAAATTTCTAGTTAAGTTTCAAATGAAATTCATGCAAATCCTAAAACAAGAGACCCTAAAGCACATCCGTCGGTAGGTACAGGTGTGGGGAGTTGCAGGGCGAGGAACATCTGTTCAAATGAGACATCAGAGATCATTTTTGCCCAACTCTAAGGGAAAGTAAATATCCCATGGCACTTTTTGAAAAGAAAAAAGGATAACTGGTCTCCTTACCATTATTATCCCTCTTTATAAGACAAGTTCTAATGTTTATGGATCTGTGAAAGTTTTTACTGAGGGTATATTAGCTGCTGCTTTTGCCTAAAAAAAAAAAAAAAAAAAAATCACTGTACTACCAGTATTTATCTCATTGTATTCTAACTTTAAGTGTTTTGGAACTCCTACAGCAAGAAATGTGCTACTGTATAAAAGCCACATACCAGCCTACAGTTGTTTAATCAGATTAGCTGTATGACAGATACTAGCTCACAGACCCTTAGGTTTGACAGGTAGGGTTAGTAGTAGGATATTGAGCATGGTGGTTTTATTCATTTAAAAATCTTTGTCTGGTAAATAAATACAGCTCTGAAGATTTTCTATCCTACAGAAGAGATGAATGGAAATCCACTGGATAGATTGTATTCTCATGCCTGGGCTCTGACCAATGCCTCCAAAGTACCTTAAATGTTTTCATCTGAAGATCTCAGTTAACCTAGAACAACTCTACATGGGAAGATCACTTCTAAACTGGCAGTAAACGTTTTGCACTGCACCTAGTTTAAGGCTGCTCACAGAGCTAAGCATGCCACATAGGTGAAGCTAACAGCTTGAAGGAGAGAGGAGAAGGATGAAGAATGATGCATTTCCAGCAAGCAGCTAGCCCAGGAGTACAGCAGTTTTCGAGGAGAAAGTCAGCCCTCTTGGCAATGACAATCACATGATGCAATTGCAATATGGATATGGGGCAAGAGGAAAGGGGATGGGTCAGTGAAGAAAATGACAGCAGAATAAAGTAATAAGCAAAAACTGCAAAAAACATATTTTAACTAGCTAATATCCTAAATGCCTGTGCAGGAGAGATGTAGTAAAGTTTCTGGCCAAGCCAGGTAAAGAAAGAACCTACACTGCCAGAAAACAGAAAGGCTGTTTGAGACTCACCTTAACTCAGGATAGACGTTTTCAAGATACCACTTGAAAGGTTTGCAGCTAAGTCTCTTTCTCAGTTCCATTCGGCTTTGAATACTAGAGAGAAACAAAAACAGCAAGTTCTGGCAGTTGTATTTGATGAATTTTAAAGCACGTTTAATAAGTGAGAAATTTATCAGTAGAAATATATTTAAAAGAAATGAAACACCCCGTTGCCCTCATGAACTACTAATGGCAAACAGAATAAAGTGAATAGGAAGAAGCAGCAGATCGGACTTACTTGCCATAAGGTACGTTTCTGGCTGAAGGCACTGCTGCGTAATAGAAATTTTTGTACTCATCCATCCACACTTCTGCTGCCCTACGCGTATTTCTAGGAACAATCAAATTGAGATGCAGGTTATGTTTTTTCCTGTCACAATCCATGACACTTATTTTTGTCTGTTTTGATTATGTTCATTTTTTCCCCACCCTCTACTACACATACCACAGAGGTGGTATGACTGAAGCACACACATTTGGAATGGACTTTGTGCCTTCCTTATACTTAGGCCTGATCCACACTTAAAATTTAGGTCAACATAGCTATAATGCTCATGAGTGTGAAAAATCCACACCAAGTGCCTCAGCTATGCCATTATAGTCCCCGCGGTGTAGAGATGGCCTAAGGGCTTGTCAACACATGAAAATTAACCCATAATAAGATAGGGCGTGAATTTAAAGTGGATTACCTATTCCTGATTAATTCCATGTGTGGACATACTTATTTTGCAATAAAAGAGTTCATACCTGGAGTTAATCAGGAATAGCAGACAAGTCCTAATACCTGGTCCAAGCGTCCAATCAGAAAAGGTAAAAAGTTTAGTTCAAGACTTTCATTTTCTACAATGCTCTTTTTGAAAGCAACTGTGTTAATTTATTAGGCCACGTCTTGCAAAGAAACGAAATTTACTGAGTGGTTTTTGAATCAGAAACTTGGAAGAATCTAAAATCTCAACAGCTGGCAATATTTGACAGTTTGCCTTTTATCTTACAAGCAGTTTTCACTAAAGCCAGAGAAAACTGACACACCATCTTATGGAATGTATATTTCTCAACCTCCTTTTTGTCCCCCACTACACACCAACTTGAATGCTACCTAGATGGATAAATAATTGCAAGTGGTGAAACATTTAGACTTATGAACCTAGAGGTTTTGTTACAGCTGAGATGACCAAGAATAAGCTGAAGGTTAGATGTTTGTAACACTACTTAAAATTCTGTATTAAAGATATGAAAATGTTGTCCAAACTCTTCAGAGACTGCTGTGTATTTTTATATATTAATCTTTATATAAAAACAGTGTATTTAAACCTGAGCTGCAATGTGACTAAAGCTTTGTCATTCTCCAGGATATTCCTCTTGCCATTCTGTCAAAAAGTTCTCTCTTCTGCTGGAGTACAGTCACGAAAAGCAACTAAACTTTTATCAATTCAACATTAAACAGATAATCTTGCACAGAAATATATTACCTGTTAGAAGTTGTCTGCAAAAATCCTGGTGTGTTACATATGCATACACAGAAGCAGCATCCATGTAGCAAATATTACAAAACTAAATGATAAATATCACACACTTCTGACTGCCTCAGTTGCCTTCTGTCCACTAATCCATCACCTCCAGGATTTACAAACATTTGTAACATTCCAAAATGCTAGGCAGCTTCCAAAAGCTTTTTTCTTTATAGGTCAGCCTACCAAAGAAATATTTCCCCCCTTCTCTTTCAAATATGGTATTTCTATATGCCAAAAATTACCTCCGATGAGGATTGGGATGGGCAATCCAGTCCCAGTAACAGATTTTCTGTGCATAAAAATATCACAATTTGATAGTATGTTGTCATCAGATTCTGTAAGGCTAGAAATAGGAGCTTCATGCTATTGAGGGGGGAGATTCTCATCTTCCCAGTGGAACCCAGTGTTTGTTTCTAGACTTGGGAGATTGTGAGACACCTACAATTTTAAGTAGTTATGTACAGAAAAGCGATTTTAGGTCATTTTCAGACATTTGTATGATCTCCTGAGGTATGTGCAATTGGACAGGAAGGATAGGGACAATATTCCCAGTACAAACTTTTTAAACTCTCTAAAATGTAGTTTTTCAGCTCTTCCTCCTGTCAAAACTTTCTCTTCACACACACCCCTCTGCTCCCAGAGACAGCCTTGTTATCTTTTACAAAATTAGAAGTGATCGTTTGGGGAATTAAAGTTTTATTTCATTAGCACCTTCCATGCTCTGAAGCCTATTTTGTACATTTGACAATAAAAAAATCTCTAGTGATTTGTGGGACATTACCCATCTTCATCAGCTCAGGGAGGATAGGTCCATGAATGGCTAGTATCCAAGATGTTCAGGGATGCAACACCATATTCTGGCTGTCCCTAGCCTCTGTTTGCCAGAAGTTAGGAGTGGATGACAGGGGATGGATCACTCAATGACTGACTGTTCTGTTCATTCCCTCTGCAGCACCTGGCATTGGCCACTGTTGGAAGACAGGATACTGGGCTAGATGGACCTTTGGTCTGACCCAGTATGGCTGTTCTTAGGTTATCTTTGGATAACACATATTGGTTTGGGAGTTAAAGACATCTTTAATTTGTATTCTTCTGCTTCTGCAGGGGAAATGAAATGACCATGAGCTGAAAAAGGCTGGTCAAAAACTCCTGAGTGCAAAAACCACAAGCGAAGAGGAAGTTCAAACTGTCTCTGCGTTTTGATGGATGATAATTTCCTTGAGGAAACTGCTAATTTTCTAAAACTCCCTTTCAGTCAAAGCCAAGGAGTTGTTTTTCACTCCCCCTCTGCTTCTGGCTTTTGTCAGGGATACTTCTTATTTGGTCAAAGCAATTCAAGTGTAAACAAAATTGCATTAATTAACCGTATCATCCTCCCACCCCTCCACCCCCCAAATAAAAAGCAATTAGAGTGACTTGTAAGGGTTTTCACAGCCTTTCAGTCCATGAGGCAGATGGGCAGCCAAAAGAGGAGGAGGAAAATCAGCTGTGTGGAAAGGCAGAGCAGGAGACACATTGGGTTACACACTTCCACGGTCTTTACAGTTCAAGTTGGTATTGGTTTCTTAAAATCATTTTGAAGAACAAAGATAGGGACATGTTTTAAAAAGATTTTCCCTTCCAGTATTTTCCCCATTCACCCATTACACCTAATGAGCGTATGGATATCTGTTTGAATGAGGAGGTCCTACCTGTGCACCCTTGTGATTTGGCTGCATAACTGTGACATTGCAGGCCAGATCCTTTCCAACCCAAATGCAGTTTTGGATAGTGCTTCAGACAAACAGTAATTTGATTTACCACACACAGTTATATTCAGGAGCGCCGCCAGCTTTCCTGCCGCCCTAGACGGCGGAAGGTCCCGCCCCGAAATGCTGCCCCCCGCAGAGGCGGCGGAAGGTCCTGCCGCCAAAATACCACCGTGGTCGCCGTCCCCTAAATTGTAGCGCCCTAGGTGACTGCCTAGGTCGCCTAATGGGTTGCGCCGGCCCTGGTTATATTATATATAGACACATCCTTTCCTATTGCTCAAATCTGGGCTATATTTAAGTACAAGAGCTTAGTGAACCAAAAAAATCCATTATTCACCAACAAAAAAAAAGGATGACTTTCTAATTTTTTTCAGCAAATCGAAAAGTAAAAAAAAACTTGAGTCAAAACAAAATGTTTCAGTAATGACAAAACATTTCATTGTGACCCAAATACTTTAATTTCAGCATTCAGGCATTTTGAAAAAGCAAAGGAAAGGAGGACTAGATTAACAAAATTGCTGGGAAGGTGGTGATGGTGCCTCCCTTACAAGCACTTTCTTTCCCTGTATGAATTGTCTCTATGAATGACAAGGGATAGTCATTGGGCCAGGGAGAGTGAGAATGACTCTGGAGCCTGGACATTGGGTCTCCCACATTGTTGGGAGAGTGCTCTAATTTCAAATTCTGTGTCTCCCACATCCCAGGTGAATGTCCTAACCACTGGGCTAAAGCTTTTAAGGGATGAACCACCACCTCTTGTCATTTTCTGAATCTAGTGCCTTTCCTTTGTCAAAATGCCCGAAATTTAAAATAGAATTTTTGGTCAGAACTGAAAAAGTTGAATTTTAACATTATCAAAACATTTCGATTTTTCCAGTTTGGTTGAAACAATTCTATGTATTTGACACGAATTTGCAAATAGTTTTGGTTAACCCAAATGTGCTTTCTTGGCAAGTAAGATATTTGTCGAAAAATTTCGCCCATCTCTATTAAGTACCTATTAAGTCTTATGGGAGGAAAAGCATCTTGGCATTAGCCCAAAACTGAAAATTGCAGAGCAGTGTGCAAATTACATAGTCTTTCATTAACATGACCCTGAAAGCTACTATGAAATTGATATGCAGTTATGTCATAAACCCAACCCATATAGTGGAATCAGTAGATCTTCCTATTCCCTGGTGTAATATTAATATTGGAGCAGGGCTGTAATCAAGACAGGGTATTTCATTATCAATCTTTTGTTTCCTCACATGTGCCATTGCTAATTTTCCACAGCAGCATAAAATTCAGATCTCAACAGAAAGGGGAAGCAGATATTCAAAGAAAAATCCCTGCTAAAACTATTCAGAGAAACAAGAGCAGTAATTTTATTTCACCAAATCAGCCAATTAATTAGTGCTGCACAAAAACTAGAATCAATCTGCACTTCCAAAAGAGAGAGTATTTTATCTAATGTGAAATACTGCCTAAGGGACTGGGTCAGAAGCTTCCAGGTGTGAAGAACGTATGTCTGGCTCTCTAGATCAGTGGTTTTCAGAGTTCAGGTCGCGACCCAGTACTGAGTTGTGGAATGCAAGGCACTGGGTGGACTTGCTCAGCACCCAGGGACCCTGGCAGCCAGCCAGCAAAAACTAGTAGTCCCTACCTGTTCTGACACCGCGCTGCATGCTGGAAATGGCCAGCAGCAGGTCTGGCTCATGGGCAGGGAGGCCCATGGGGCTCTGAGCACTGCCCCCACCCCGAGCACTGGCTCTGCACTCCCATTGGCCGGTTCCCAGCCAATGGGAGCTGGGGGGGAGGGGGAGGCAGTGCCTGCGGGCGAGAGCCACTCTGAGCCACTTGCGCAGACCTGCTGGCTGCCTCTGGGGCGTAGTGCGGTCCGCGGTGCCAGGACAGGCAGGAAGCCTGCCTCTGCACCCTGGCTGTGCTGCTGACAAGGAGCCTCCGGAGGTAAGCCCGTGCCCCAATCCTCTTCCCCAGCCCTGAGCCCCCCCAAACCCAGACCCCCCTCCTGCATCCCAAACCTCTCATCCCCTGCCCCAGCCCAGAGCCTGCACCCCCAGCCCAAAGCCCTGACCCCCTGCCCCAGCCCAGAGCCCCCCCCCCCGCCCCCAAACCCCTCATCCCCAGCTCCGTTGGGTCGCAGGCATCAACAATTTTCTTCAACTGGATCACCAGAAAAAAAGTTTGAAAACCATTGCTCTAGATGACTTGTTGAATATGATTTTCTTGGACTCCAGAATTCCTACAGTACAAAATACATTTTATTCTGTTTGCATTTAGCATATTGTAAATCCTGATTGGGAATTCCTCCAAGTTGATGAAGCATCAAACACAAAAGCTCGACACACTTTGTGCCTAGAATAAGGGTTTGTCTATGCTATGGATACTACAGTGGCTCAGCTATGCTGCTGTTGCGACATAATATAGATTCTTCTTACAGTGACAGAAGAGGTTTTTCCATCCACTTCGCCAAGTGGTAGTAGCATTCTTCCATCAACCTAGTAGCATCCTACTCTGGGTTAGGCTGGCATAGCTATGGTGCTCAATTTCACACCCCTTAGTGACATACCTAGGTTGATCTAAATTTTAAGTGTAGACCAGGCCCCATGCTGCATCTCTGGTTCTTTAGGGAAACAACACATCAGTGAAAATTTCATATAACATGTGAATGTAATACTACTACACTGTACTTATACAGTGCCTTGAGGCATAGGTCTCAAAGCTCTTTACAAACATTGATAAAAATCACTTTCCTCATTCTACAGAAGGAAAACTGAGAAAAAGTTAGGGATTCAAGTTCACACAGTGAATCAATAGCAGAGATGGGATTTCTTAACTACTGAACCATGATGCCTCCTCAAAAAGGGTTTTTGGTTTTTTTTAAAGTTACAGTATAAGGAAGGAAAACTTCATATAACAAACACAGAAAGAGAGAGGAGTGGATATTTTTGACAGGCCAGATTCTAATAGGTACTACTCATTGCAAGTATCAGAATCTGGGCCTATGTGATTATTAACATGACACCACAGAATTGTTTACTATTGAACCAGGAACCCAAAACCAAAATGCAACACACAAATATACAAAACGATCACACAGTTAGTGAATTCGGAGTGTCCAAAGTGGAAAAATGAACAATTTAATTTTCTTCATCTTTTAAAGACTGAATACCGAAGATAAAGCCTTTATTTCCCACAAGATCTTTTAAGAAGATATACACACAAAGTTTTCAAAGCTGATGGTAAATTTCCCGTTGTTAAAAGATTTTCCATTTCTTCCCTTTCCCCATTTGGCCCAGAATTCTTCCGGCTGATACTAGGCAATTCCTCACCTCTTTATTAAAACATTACACCACTTCCAATTTTTATTTTTGCCCTAATTCGAGCCTCTGAGTTATCACTAGAGATGAAAAGTAATCTCCTTTTAATTAAAAAATTTATTCATAAGATTTTCACTTCAGATCATACTGCACATATTTTTAGTAAAAGGCCCTGGAAGTTTAATGAAGTTACTGCCACCTGCTGGCTAACTGGAAAAAAACAAAAATCCACAGTTCCACGATTTAGCCAAGAACTTGCAAATAGTTACCTTGCAAACACAGTACCACTCCCACCAGGGAAGGTGTAAGGATGTTGCTTGCGGAATACATGACCCACTCTGCTGCATGGGATAATTTCAAGGCTCCCTCCACACTGCCACACTCTGAATGAAATCTCTGCAATTAGGAATGCATGATAAGTATCCACATAAACCTAAAGTAATTTGTAAATTCTGACCTTTAACACATTTTTCCAATATATGCACTATGTCACATAGGATTAAAGAAAGATATTTAGCTTGCAGAGAACATGAAAAAGCTAACAAATTGGGCTCAGCGTGTCTGACCGTTTCACTTCAGTATTCCCTAACTCTGGAGAAGCAGCTATGAATTTATATCCCTTTGCCTGCCAGTATTTATAAAGTTCCACTGGTGAGTTTTACGAGAGAGTTTACGCAGTTTTTGGCCCAGAGATTAAAATCTATAGTGGACTGATACAAAACAAAATAACTCAATTCAAGTGTGAGCTATGTAGAGTTGAACTCATTGATGAAAGTTTGAAGCTAGTTTGCATAATTTCAGCAGAAGGCTGAGTGAAGGGTAAGCACACAACAGATGTCAATATTAGAATTCATAAGGGGTTTAGGAGGATTTCTTCTGAATGTCAGACCATTGAATCAGAACTGGTACAGTTTGCACAAAAAAGCTAGCTTTTTTAAAAAAGGGCAAATAATCATGAATTCAGTCCAACAAGATAGCATTTGTATTCAATATTGAAGTTGATTTTATTTTTACAATAAATTGTGAAATACCTTTCACAAATGACCCTTTATTTTATATATTATGCATAGACTCCTTTATTATACATCACTGTTTGCTGTGTTTCAATTAACCAAATTCCCCGCCCCCCCACCTCCCGATCAACCACCCCCACCCAAAATACAGGTTTGGTGGCACCTTACATCCTGAGGCAGCTGGGCAGCAGAAGGGGAGAGGATGAAAAGTAGCAGTGAAGAAAGGCAGAGAGGGAGAAGTAAATAGGGAAGGTGCAAACTCGTTGCAGTTTTAACTAACTCCGCAGCTAAAATCTGAATAGATTTAAGTCATTTAAAATCCAAGATATTGGGGGAGATTTAAAAAAAATTCTTATTTTCCCCCCTCCCTCGCCCGTTACGTATCGCAGGCATCAGGATATATTTTTTATTAGAATATGGTCCCAACTATTCACCTTTGAATTGATGCACATCTGTGATTTTATCAAAAAGGCACAAACAGTAAGTCAGAAAAAAAGACAGTTACCTTTTCTGTAACTGGTGTTCTTCGAGATAAGTTGCTCATGTCTATTCCACAATAGGTGTGCGTGCTCGTCACGTGCACCAGTGTTGGAAGTTCTTCCCTTAGCAGTACCTGTAGGGGAGCGCCCTACTGACCCCTGGAGTGTCACCTCCATGGCATGGTATAAGGGGCGCTGCGCGCTCCCCCCACCCTCAGTTCCTTCTTGCCAGACAACTCCGACAGAGAGGAAGGAGGGCGGGATGTGGAATAGACATGAGCAACACATCTCGAGGAACACCAGTTACGGAAAAGGTAACTGTCTTTTCTTCTTCGAGTGATTGCTCATGTGTGTTCCACAATAGGTGATTCCAAGCTATATCAGTTGGAGGTGGGAGGAGTTCACAAATTCTTGGGACGGAGCACAGCCCTGGCGTCCTCCCTGGTTTGGGAGACGATCGCATAATGTGAGGTGAAAGTGTGAACTGAAGACCACGTGGCAGCCCTACACATCCTGGATGGGGACATGGGCCAAAAAGGCAGCCGACGAGGCCTGCGCCCTAGTTGAGTGTGCCCTCACAATTGACGGCGGAGGGGGATTCCCGCCAGGACATAACAGGTATGGATGCACAACGTGATCCAGTTGGAGAGCTGCTGAGTGGAGATTGGCCGACCCCTCATGCATTCGGCCGAGGCGATGAACAGCTGCGAGGACTTTCTGAACGGTTTTGTCCACTCCAAGTAGAAAGCCAGAGCCCCTCACACATCCAGCATGTGGAGGCGGCGCTCCTCACTGGACGCACGGGACTTGGGGCAGAGGACCGGCAGGAAAATGTCCTGACCCATGTGGTAGGCAGAAACCACCTTTGGGAGGAATGAAGGATGTGGGCGGAGCTGGTCCTTATCCTTATGGAATACCGTGTACGGGGGCTCGGAGGTCAGGTCCCTGAGTTCTGAGACCCGCCTCACCGACATGATCGCCACCAGGAAGGCTACCTTCCATGAGAGGTGCGACCAGGAGAGGCAAGGCCACCCTGCCCAGTACTGAGGCGGACAGTACGTTAAACAGGGAGTCCGAGGGCTCCTCCACCTCCTCTGCCTGGAGGTTGAGGCTTGATGCCACCCTTTTTAATAGATCTTGGTGGGCCTTGAGTCCTCCTGCGGGATGGAGGGAGGAGGGGCCGTAATCGCCTCATCGGGGGAGGGCGAGGAGGCCGGCGCCATACTTTGCGTGTCTACCGTCACCAGAGGGTCTACCACCTGGTCGGTCTCCATGCACGGTGCCGAGGATGTACGTCTCACCGACTCCTTCCTCAGAGGCCGGGAGAGAGAGGCCGACAGGCCTTCTGAGGCTCCAGCCACCGAGCGAACCCCCACCGGGGGCTGCGTCGGGGGCCACGGTGCCCACTGGTACCATTGCGCTGGCCATGAGGCCCAGTGCCACTGCACCTGCTGTGGCACCGGGGGAGCGGGCTGTTCAGCCTGGGTGGCCTGACCCATCGATGGACGGCTACGAAGGGAGGCCAGGATGATGTACGACCTGCCACTGTCCCTGGACCGGGAGGAGCGGTGGCGACGGGAGCGGTGCCGACCCCAAGACCGTGACGTGGAGGACCGGTACCGTCGGTAACAGCTGCTTGGCAATTGGCTCTGACGGGTGGATCTGTGACGGCGACTCGCCAGCGATCGATGCCCGGGGCTGCGGGAGTGGTGCCGCGGCGGGGTCCTGGAGCGGGACGATGAACAGCAAAAGCATTGACGTTCGTGACGCGACCAGCTACAATAGTCCCTCCGAGATGAGGACCTTTGGTGTCATTTGCCTCGGTCCCATCGGTGTTCGTTCCTCGAGGCGGAGCGGTGCCTGGAGTCTGTCGGACGGAACCCAGCCAGACAACCTGGTGGGAGTCGATGGCGACCCATGTCGGCTACGCACGGAACTTTCCCTTGACCGAGTCGGGGGCAACTGCAGAGATCCCAGCAGCGGCTTGCCTCTGGAGTGTGGTGGTGCTCATGGTACCAGCATGGACATGACATCCCGGGCTGCCTGCAGGGCCTCCAGAGTGGAGGGCATCCGGACATCCGAGGAAGCCTGCTCCAACTGGGCTGGGCTACTCTGCTCGACTTGAGTCGGAGGACTAGAGGCTGATAGGGATCGAGGACTGCCCAACATGTGTCTAGTCTCTGCCCTAGATTTACTCCAGTGCCGCGGCAGAGAAGGCCTCTTCTTAGCCTTCTTGGCGTGCCCTGTGGACAGGGAGCGGTGCTGACTAGTAGATGGTGCCGGGGGGGTGCCGCACTCTGACAGCGCGGTGCCCGGTGCCAACTTGGAGTGGCGCGCTGGAGTCGGGGTCAATGCTGACTCCATGAGGATAGCCCAGAGCCTAATGTCTCTCTCTCCCTTGGTCCAAGGCTTAAACGACTTGCAAATCTTACAGCAATCGCTGAGATGAGTTTCACCCAAACAACGTAGACAGTCTGTGTGCGGATCACTCACTGGCATCAGGCGCTTACAAGTGTTGCACGACTTAAAACCTGGGGCGCGGGGGCATGCCCCAGCCCGGGCGCACCAGCTAAAGTAAACTAAAACGAATCGAGTACTAACTACAGGTCACATACACTGAACAAACAAGAGTTCTGGGGACAAGCTACAGCAAAACTGGAGCAGAGCAGTTTCGAAGCACTGAGGGTGGGGGGAGCGCGCAGCGCCTCTTATACCGCGCCATGGAGGCGCCACTCCAGGGGTCGCTAGGGGCGCTCCCCTACGGATACTGCTAGGGGAAAAACTTCCGACACCGGCGCACGTGGCAAGCATGCACGCCTATTGTGGAATACACGTGAGCAAATCACTCGAAGAACTACATATTCCCCAATGGTGTAATGATATTTGTATAGAGCCGTTCAACAACAGACTCATTCTTGTTGCTGTAGCATTACACTAATATAAAAACTATGAAGGAAGTCTTGCTTGCTTACGAACTGGTTTTAACAAAATCAAACCACTACAAAGAAGAACCTCTAAACCTGAGTTTAGATCCAAATGTGTTAGCAGTATATCTTATTCCCCACCATATTCAAATTCTTCTGTTTCTCTGCAATGCTCTTTTGTTATTCTTAGGAATAGGGTTCCCAAAGCTAACGTCATTGATCTAAAGCCAGTTTCCGTATGCCACGCAACAAAAATACTGTATTTAACAATGACAAAAAAATACATCACCTCTTAATTGTTTAAAATAATGGTTAAACAGACATCAAAACACTACAAGGCCATTTTATAATTGATAGAGTCAAGTGTACATGTGTGTAAATAAAACCTCCTTTAGTTCACTCAACTGCATAGCCAGGAGAAATATTTCAATAGAAATAATGCTAAGTTTTAAACAGTAAGTTTCAGCAGAACATTTAGAATTAGTGTTTTAAATATCCAGTAAGATGTTTTACTTACTTGCAGCACTTCCCAATCAATCTAGACATATTATTACTGCAGCAAGTTAGATGATTGGACATTTAGATGTCCATTGCTGTACAACGTAGATATCAAGTATCTGGTGTGCGTATTGTGCATTTTAAACAGAAAGATGAAGGATATTCAATTTTTCCTGCCAATTGATTTTTGACTAATCATGTGACGCCTGCAGAAAGTTCACTACTTGCTACTATTACTTCATTTGTGCAGTAGTTGACACCCATAATAGGAAGAGAAGTCATTGCCAGGGAGTCTTCAGAACTGCCTCTAGCTTCCCTCACATCCCTCCACATGGGGAGAAGGGAACAGAGGAAGCACCATAAAGCAGGTCTTTGTTAGTCTCAGAAACTCTTCACCTTGAGAGAATTACAGCTTCCAGCCTGCCCTCACCGCCCCCCATCAAAGCCCTGATTCTGCAAAGCATTTAAGCACCTGCTTAATTTTAAGCACATGAAGTCAATAGGACTACTCATGCTTAAAGTTAAACATGTACTTAAGTGCTCTGCTGGATTAGGGCCCAAAGAGTATTCAGGGAGGTGAAGTGAAAGGAAACCGTATGGAGAATGTGTGGGACAGCAGGAGAAAAGGTGCTTGGACAGGGATCTCAGGGCTGTGTTCCCACTGAAGGAAAAAAGGACTGAGTGAGCTGTTGGAACCTTCCCTCAGCAGGTAAAGAAAGAAGGGCATTAAAATACACTGACTGGCTCAAGGGTAATAGTGTATGCACTGGTTTAAAAATGCTTTCCGTTAAAGTAAAGTCAACTGCAACGTGCAGTATTAATTTTACAATGAATTTCCTGGTAATTTTTTAAAAAGGTGACCATAATTGCAACGTTCAAATAAGCATGATTTAGTAATGCACAATCAACATGACAGCCAAACTCTTGATTCAAGTGTTTGAATACTCTCATGTGTATTCTAGTTCAGCCAGGAGTTATTTTAGCGAAGTTCCATGGCCTGTGTTGTACAGGAGGTCACACCAGACAATCCTTCCAACCCTTGAATGTTGGAATTATTTGTATTACTGTAGTGTACTTCTGGCAACAGATTCAGATAAATGCACTCCAAGGCTTTAAATAAGTGTGTATGTAAAAACCCTGAATGGATAGATGGATGGATGACACAACACACTAAAAGTTTGAAAGTAGTGTACTTTGCATGTGCAGTGCACAAATTTGAACTATAACTGGTTTCTAAATTAAACTACTTCAAAAATGACTAAGATACTTAATATAGTCCTTCAGTAAAGACAAAAGCAAATTGGAAGCTCTAAAAAGTTGTCACAGTGAAAAATGTTTTTGAATACACCACTCTTAGCAGAAGCAAAAAACTTCATGCTACTGTAATCCAAACAACCAAAACAGAATTATTCAGCTCAAATATCACCCTTAGCCCAAGAACAAGAATTAGAACACTGCCAAAGGCCAGTTTTTCCCCAAAATAATAGAACTATCTTAAATTTAGGGCCAAGTGGTCTACTAGGACAGATGATAAAAAATTATATTAGATCAGTCTTCAGCCAGCTACATTTTAATTGATTTCTTAAAGTATACATAAGAGGATTAAACTCATGAACTTTTGTGTTCTGCTTTACATGATTAAATTTCACCAACATCTTAAGAAGCCCCTTAAACTGGTGGCACTTAGACACTGCAGCATTTTAATCAATTTAGCTAGAAGAGAATGCCATTTTAGAGCTATACCGGAAATTATTTTTCAAAAATGCAATCTGTATTCCTGTAATTTCTTACTTCCATTTTATTGGCCTGCCTTTTCACAAAAATAATTGAATTGTATAGTTAACAAATGCTTCCCTCAGTCATTCATATTCAACATGCTAGTCCTACCCTATTCTAATTCTTTATTTTAAACTGAAGCTTGGTTGTCTCTGAATTTTTGCTAATAATCCACTTAGTCTTAACTATCATTTAAATCCTCTCTGTACAAACAGAAGAAAGCCATGTACATACCTAAGTTTTCTCCACCCCAAACATCCATCATCATATCGTACTTTCCTAACTCTTCGAAATAGAATTTGTCCATCACAAACAACCCGCCAGCTATCATTGGTGTTCTAAAGAGACAGAAGGGAGAAAAGTCAGAAGTTAAATATTTAATCATCTGCCAGTTTATTGTTCTCTACCATTTGAGCCTTCAAGGCTGAATGCCTACTTGAAGTAGCCTTGCAATATTTTTATCTTGAAAGCATTTAGTCATTATTCCTTGTATAGCACTACATGCATACCACCACACTAGCATTTCTAAGTAATATACTGCTTCATGGCTTATATAGATAAAATTTGTTTCTATTTCCAGATCCTTAGTCAGGTCTCATATTCCTTTTATATAGGACATGTATTCTCAGAGTCAAACTGAATTTTAAAACCCTTACCATAGTCTTAGCACAATAAAGAGATTAATTTCAATTCAAGAAAGAAGGGGTCATCTTATAAGTGCAGACAGTACACTAAGATCCTTAGAAATAATAGTTACTTTGCACTTATAACTGTTTCTATCTGAGGGTCTCAAGAGTGCTATACAAGCAATGAAAGAATTAAGCCTCATCATCCCAATGAGGTAGGGTCAATATCCCCTTTCTGAAGCTGGGGAAAATGAAGTAGTCCATTCGGTCATAATAGGCCTCGGTCCATTTACATTTTTCAGTGTATCTCAAGCCAAGTGGTGTACACAGAGTATAGGTTATAATGTGTTCATGTCGTATACATCTGACAGTTAACTGTTGATAGTTAACCTATGATGTTTAACAGGCCAACAAACTGGTTAAAAATAGTTCTACACATTCTAGAAAAAGGGATAAATCAAAAGCTCTTGATGTTAACTATTAAATGCTATCTGACTTTTGCTGATTATGTATATCAATAATGGAAGCTGAACAATGAATAACAGTGATTATTTCCATTCAAATCCACAGACTTGTACTATCAGTTTCTTGCTTCTGTTCCATATGGTACAACACCAGCTTGAACAATACTAAGAACTGTAAGTTTAGGTAGAAGGATGGGGAAGGAGAAAAGTAATGGATGACTCCGCTTCATGCAATGTTCTGGAACAACAGTACTGCAATTTTTTGTCTTGCATATAAACTTTCATAAAAGAACTCCCTAGCACTGATCAGTTAGCATAGGGATCATTTGTGGAAGACAACATTTGGGAGATAGTAGCTCAGGAAGTTGCACTTTTAAAAATATCTACAACATTGTTTTGTGAGGGGAAATGTTGACAGGAACATACTTTATGGGAGCAACTGGGTTTCCTTGTCTTGCTCTTCTTTGCTCTGGTGTCATGTAATCCCATTTGAACACCAAGTTCCAATCAAAGCCTACAAGGGGGAAAAAAAAAATCAGAAAGGAAAAAAACTGAAAGTTAATTGAAGTTTTTATTCATTGTTCAGCCTTTATGATGAATTTCTGATTAAAATTATTGGGAACTGACATTCAGATTAGATGGTTAGCGCAAAATGAATAGTTTAACATAAGGATTCAAATGAAAATCTGAGCTCAGGTAAACATCTGAGGAGAGAACAGAAATGAAAAGGAAATGATGGAACAAATAAGGTTTCGGATGAAAGAGAAGCTAGCTGTGACACAGAAATGGGCTCAAATGTAAACTAAATTTATCTTGAAATACTTCTATATTGTATTTTAAAATCCACAGTCAGCAACACTAAATGAGAAACAAAAAGCCTTGGTATGGATCTAGTCTCATACACCTCTGGTTAAGTAGAGCATCAAACGAAGAACTTTCAGTTATCATGGACACATGAGAAGTCATTACCACAGTTATAATCTGATTAGTCAGATTATACATACCACTCCCACAGCAGCTAATGTTTGTTTTTATTTGTTCATCTCTGTTTATTACATGAAACACTCTCCTGGATGTCACAATAGATTTGCAATTTTTTCCACCTACCTAGTTTGGAAACCTACTTATGCCACTTTCTTTAACTGCATACTTAGAAAATATGGCATGTTAAAACCTTCAGATGTAGTGCTTTATGTTTAGCTAAAATTGTTTTATGTAAGGGTGAAAAACCTCTCTCTTTGGACAGCTTGCTTTGTGAATTAAGATTAGAAAAACAAGCACAGAAACTGCCAAAGCTAGATCAGACCAGTCATGTATCCAGTCCAGCATTCTGTCTCCAACTGTGGCTTGTACCAGATGCTTCAGAAGAAGATGCAAAAAACCCAGCAGCTATGGGATAACTGGCCAATAGTGAAAATTTCTTCCTACCCCCCTTCTCTGAGGAAGCCTTATGCCCTGAAGCATGGAGGTTTATAAAAAGATACTAGAGAAAGCTACAATGCTCACTGCGTAATGGCTAACATGCCAGCTATTCATACTACACCTGCTACCAAAAGCATTTAGAACACATGAGGTCATTTAATAGAGGATTTCTAGATTTGTCAGAGAGATCAGAGGTTTTCCTTTCCTGAATGGAGGTATAGCAGTTTGCCTTTGGAGAAATGGGATAGATAGGAAAAGGACAAAACTGGCTCAGGAAACATTTGCCCCACCAACTCTATTGCACTAAGGATCCTTAACACGTACCAGTAGATTTCTGCCTGGTAGGATTGATGTGGACAGCAAAATGAAGACAGCTGAATCCATCTTCTACCCCACAAGATATTTATATTAATTTTATATTCACAGAAAGTGAGTAGTAGTTCTGAAGTCTTTCATCAGACAAGCATGCCAACGGGGCAAACCTCTTTACAAGTTTGGAATTTCCTATAAAATGTTAATACTATAAAAACTAAAAAGCATTTCCACATTATATTTAGAGCTTTCATCTCTTAAAAAGCACTTTTAGATATAAAAGGAAGCAGTATTACATTAGATAACAAAGTCTCCATCACAACAAGAAAAATGTACCCTGATACTTGGTATCCTATTAAGTCAAATTTATTTTGTACTCCATAAAATGATTTGAATTACAGTGGCCTGTACTGTTGCTGCTGTTCCAGTGCACAAGCACTATTGAGACAAGAGTTACATACCCTATACTGAACACAAGGGGTCTCTTCTGGAACGCAGGAGAGTGTTACAAAACAACACACAGAATAAGCGTAGAAAGCATTTCTAATGATGGTGAAGCAAAAACAATACTATCTTCAGTGACTGGGGAAAGCCTGAGCTCAATGAGGTGAGATCATCGACTTGATAATGTGTGTTATTTTAAACAGCACGTTTATATGTACTGTATCACTCAAGTGCAGGCCTCATGTGAAAAAGGTATTTCCTCTTCCTTCATATGCAAGATAGTGATAGGCGTGTCCATAAATTAAGTGTTTAGATCTAATTTAATGACATTCTATTAGAGTAATTGAAAAGATTTTTTTCAACAGGTAATAACACTTTTACAACATTAACAGTATGAAAAGGTTGAAAATTGTCTTGGACCAAAAAGATGAAAATACATGGATTTGAAAACTGTGGTCAGATTTAGAAGTGAATGTAAGGAATTTTTTCCCCTTTCTCCCACCCTTTATTAAAAAAATAATAATAATAATGATGATGAATTTAGTGTTTGGAAAAGACGCCAGACTGCTAGCCCTGGGTAATTAAGTTCTTTCCCCACAGATCATGTATAAAAGCAGTATAAGTAAGATTTCCCATGCCTCAGTCATGACGTGGAGACACTACATCTAGGGACGAAAGCATAGTTCAGTTTCCATGCTTAGTCTTCGGCCTTTGCTGAGATGGCCAAAGATGCCACGTCACAGTGATTGTGATTGGTGTCTGTCCTCAGGGAACAGGGGGACACCACAAATTCATGTAACAGAGACCTCTAATCTATTTTTAAAAGTTTGAACATGCAACATTTCTATTGCTAAAATTCAAAAGTAGGCAAATCCCACCTTTTGAGTCCATGGGGGCAGAGGGTCCCACATGCTTAAACTGATGGAGGGCAAGTGGGCAGGACTGGGGAACCACAGCTCCATAGGAGTAACATTAGGAGTAGCAGCAGGCTATTAGATACATTCACCATGCACCATTACCCTCTCTTCCCCAGGATATCCAGGATTTAAAAGCATGGCAAACAAACACTAGACTTGCATATTTTAGAAAGCTGGCACATGTATACATACCACCACCGGAATGCTTAGGAAGTGCTAATGTTGTATACATTTAGAATTCAGTTATTTACCTTTTTTATAATAACGAGTATTATAATTGTGGGGAAATTGCATGCCTCCAGGTATTAATAAAGGGATAAGGAGCCTCCCATCTCCAGGTCACAGGTTGGAACTTGACACTCAAGCATAGTGTCTGAAGTGAAGACTGACCATATTCAGTCTAGTTTCGTCAGTAGGGATCATTCCTAAGACAGCCGATGTAACTAGCAAATGCAGTGGCAGTCTCAGTAAACACTAAAGACTAAATGGGCATGGAAACTGAACTACCCTCCCTAAGCCATGGTTGAAACACCTTAGAGATCAGCATGAAGGAGTTTCCACTGACACTGCTTACACAGTACCTGTCATGTGAACAGAGTTCAGTTTGCAGGGTTGTTACTCATCCACTTTGCTTTGTCTTGTATTTTAATGGCAGCATCGAAGAACTCAGCCCTGGTTTAAAGTTTTATAGGTGCTGTATAAAGCGTTTATTGTCAGTCAATTATTCACACAATAGGTTCAGGGAGTGCTTTTAATTTATTATTTTGAAAGAAAGATTCTACTATTTCTAACAGAGTTCTCCATTATAAAATTAAGGAATAATGGAATGGTAGAATCTTTCCAACCAGTATACATTATTTGAAGGTAGCCACTGTACCCTACCAATGCACACAATTCATGATTGTATTGTCAAACAGTTTAGTCCAAATGTTTGAGATGAGAGTTTAGTTTTAATTTTTAAATAAACAATCTGCATGCATGCATCGGGGGCAGGGTGTGAGGGAAAAAAAAAATCAATAAGCACAACACTACTGATGACTTGCCAAGCTATATAGTGATAAATGCCTTATCATCTAAGAGTAGAATCAAATACCGTGGCCATATGCTTCTCCTGAAATGTATACAAAATTACCATAAACATCGGTGAGAGTTTTGCATGAGAACAGGGTAGTATAAACCTTAAGTGTTTGTTTATGGCTCAAAAGAAACAGTTTTCAAATAATGGAATCAGAATCCAATTTGAGTCCAGTCTAAGCCCAGGAAGACTGTGTGAAAACACCAACCTGATGTGTGAAAAGAAACAAGGGTGCATTAATGCTGTCAGTTCTGGGAATGCAGCAATTATGTTTTGCGCTTTGATGCATTAATTTTTTGTTGACTCATATTCCAGTACAGGTACATACCGCCTTTTAAATCAGCTGACGCCCCCACGTACTGGAAGTTGTCCATATTAATTACATCAATTATAGGAGACACAACTCTGGTCTTGTCCTAAAATAAATATTAAAAAGTAATATTGAAATAATGAAATCAATAGAAAAAGATTCAAGCAGGATGAGATGTTGAACCATTTAGTGGGAGACCATTAACACCCCTTTTCCTGTTTTTGACTCACTCTGAACAGTCAGAAAGAATCTCTCATATCAACTCTCTCAGCAAGAGAGTTCTCTCCATCACCTCCAGAAGCAGCTGCCTCGTCTTATGGTTTTCACCCCCCTCTTCATTCTAGGCTACTTTTATACAATTTAATCCTCTCCCTTCGACTTGATCCTGAAGCAGACATTACTGCACTGCACATCAAACCTCAGAAGGCAAGTCAGAAGAACTTTCACCATTCTTAGCTTAAAACTACCCCAAAGAACAAGAGTGTCAAAGCTGCTCCAGAATTCAGATCTCAAGTCTCCTGCAATACAGTATACTGCAGTACTCACCAGGTCTTTGCTAGTCTACCACCTTAACCCAATTAAGAAAAAAAATGTTTTGACCCTGCTACATCAGGAGATCCTTTCACTAGCACTGATAATGTTACATGCCAGTGCAGAATGTAAGAAACCTGGATTCTTAAGGCGGTCAATAGACTCCATATTCAAATACACCTCTACCCCGATATAACATGACCCGATAGAACACAAATTTGGATATAACGTGGTAAAGCAGCGCTCCGGGGGGGGGGGGGGGGCGCTGCACGTTCCGGCGGATCAAAGCAAGTTCAATATAACGCAGCTTCACCTATAATGCGGTAAGATTTTTTGGCTCCCAAGGACAGTGTTATATCGGGGTAGAGGTGTACTCAACTAGGTAGGAAAAAGAATGTCAAAATATTAAATCCATGAAAAGTCACTAATTGCTACCAACAAAGCCTTTGGACAGCTATTGCACCCATCAGTAGTGAAATTGCTTTGAATGCTACCCCAAACAACATGTTCTTCAAATGCAAAGTGTTTTATCAAATTCACAAAACTAGCTTTCCCATTACCCCTGAATGTAATCATTAGGATCTTGGTACGGTCTTAGTACTTAAAACTACTGATTTTGTGATATTCCAAATGTGATAGCTTGGCATGTTCCATTTCTTTCTGTTAAGTGAACATAAACACATTCAAACATAACTTCTGATTGTTCAAACAAATGATGACCTATCTTGAAAAAATATTGCAAAGTAATAGTACCAGAACTCTGGGCTCAGATGTAAGATTCAGATTGCATCACTTTGATGACATGCATGGATAACATTTCTGAACAGAATGCCATCAATTAGGGGCAGGACCAAAACATGTAACTCAAGAAATCCCTGTAGATTAAGGAGTATGGAAAATGTAAACAGGTCTCCAATAAAGGAAAGGAGATCTATTTTGATTAATCTATAATAAAGTAAGCACTCATGTTAAATAAGGCACAAAGCTAAATCTCTTAATCATGCTTTTAACTGTATTTATGTGGTTAGTTTTCATTTAAAGTAATAGGGTATATAACTTCTAATTATGGGTTCAGCACCCCACACTTTGCACCTCTAACTGGTAATTAATCATTTTGTCCCTTGCACTACTGAACTTTTGCAAGAATATTATAACTGCATATACTGAAAGTGATTGCTATAAAGTATTCACTCCTCTGGCTAATCAATTTAAATATGCCAAGTCATGGAAGATATCACCTTGTTTTATCTTCATTTAAGATTAATTGCTAACTCCCTAATGATCTCAGTGTAGCCACTGCAAATTATTACAAGTACCTATAATCTTGTGAAATACGGAGTATTTTACAGGAGTCGGACGGGTCATCTTACCTTCAGTGAGTAAGATGTCTGAAATCTACAGCCTACTAAATTCGTCAAAGGAGAATCTAATTGGGTCTGTAGTTAAAATTCAAGCTAAGGGTCCTAACCAATATCATTTCAGTTGTGGCACATAGGCCAAGTATGACCCTTCATCAAAGACTTTAAACCTTGAACACTGTGTTGCATTCATAGTAGAGGGACAAATAACGCAATAATTAGTTTAGTCTAATTAAGGTAGAAAAACCCAGAGACACAAATCAAGCTTGAGACACAGGACAGGACAGAAAAGGCAAAATATAAGCTTTTTTGCTCTCCTACCCTTTATATATCCACTTGCGCCAAGCTAATCCTAGATAAACTGCACAAAGACTGGCACTAGATGAATCCCTTTGTGCTCTCAAATGAGCAGTCAATTTTCCAACCAGTTCAAGTATGCTGGATCTTAACTATTCCATTAATTTACAGGAATGGGTCGCACACAAAAAAACAAAAATGAAACCCCCCCAGAAAGCAAGATGTTTGAACCAAAAAAAAAAAAATTAAAAATTTTGTTTGTTTGTTTAACTTTGGTAAAAATATTTCCAAATACTGAGATACTGCTAGGGGAAACTTCCTTGTTTAAAAGTAAGTGGCGGGATGGGGTGGGGAAGCCTCACAGTGGGCACCCAGAAGCATTGCAGCCTAGAAGCATTGCAGCCTATCTGGTTGTTTTTAATAGTACACCCAGCACTGGATGTCCATGTGTAGCAACCAATTCCACACTAAATACTGCTCATTCCTCAGTTGAAAGTGAGGTATCTAAGCCCATCTCTCAGGGAACCAGCTTGGCACAGCTGAGTGGCAGTAAAAGATGCTCAAACCACCTTTGCAGCTCTCCAATATGGGGCTGTTACACCAGGAGGGGATTGCCAGAACACAGCAGAGCTCCAGCCATGCCCTCTAGGTCAGGGCTGGGCATAATGGGGTAGGTGGCAGCTTGCTGACTATATATCCATCTGTGATTCCCACATGCCAGGAATTCTAGTCCGGTCCATTTCATTTTGATACCCATACACTAGTATCACAATGTTTAAACAAAAACTTAAAAAAAAATTATAAAAGCTTTATAAAGTATCCCACAAACTAACTTGTAGGTTTAAACTACCAGACCGTAGCTCTCTAATACTGCATTACTCTTCAGTTTTTTTAATGATTATATCATCCGTGGTTTTCCTCATGATGTTAAGCAATAGATTTTTTTTTTTTTTGGCAGCAAAATGGACAGAGCATTTATGTATTCTTAATATTAATCCTTGCACCGTGCTACTAAAACTGTTAATGCATGTAAAGTGATAACTGATATTCAGGCTTCAGTATATAGGGGGTACAGAACCATCCACTGAAAAGATTAAATTCAACGGCTCCCCTGAAATGATTAAATTCAATGGCTCCCCTGAAATAGCCATTAGTTAAATTGCATTTGCTATGCAAAAAGATACTTAATTTCCATTGCTGAAATCCTATAGGCAGTCTGATGTGCATTTTGAATACCAGAACAAAGGCTAAGTGAAAATCTTGTTACATTTTTTAGTCTGCTGCTTCTGTTCCGTAGGTTTTCCACTATACTTTGCAATGGCATATAGAACTGAAAAGGTGTGTGTGTTTTGTGGTGATGTTGAAGGGAAATAAAGTATGAACACAGTATGAGTCTCTAGATCCTGGAAATTCAAAGTAATATAGTATTTCATTTTAATATTTGGTAGAGAAGTAATGCAGGCTTTACAAATTTCGTGTATCATATACTGTACTTAAACCAACAGGAAGTATCCTCAGGATTCTAAATATTTTGCTTTTTAAAAATTCTAGAGGATTTCAAATGGTTTCACAAAGATTAAGCTTCACAATACTACGAGGATCTACTGATATTCTCATTTTGCTGTTGTGCAAACAGAGTTTAAGAGACTCACTGAAAGTCACATGAGAAATTTGAGAGTCATGGAAATAGAACCAGTCTCACTCAGTCACAATGCCATCCTTTCTTCCTCCAAACCTCGTTTGTTTTAAAGTCTACCACTGTCAAATAAGAGTGATACTCAGAGTTTACACAGTCTACAGTTAGGCTGTGATGGCAGAGATCATGAATTAAACTGTCCCCAGATATGCATGCAACTCTTACAGATATAGGAAATAGAAAATGCCAAATAGAACAGATATAGGAAATAGAAAATGCCAAATAGAAAGGATGTAATATCTGGGCTTGTGAAGAACATGGGAGCTACCCGTATTATTTTTACGAATATTGTGTACCTGTTTATTTGATTATGATTATGTTTGCTACCTGGTTTCAAAGGATTAGCTCCTATCGGAGCTCACCTCACAGCAGAGGTCAGAGTATGGCTTTACATCAACCAATCACCAGTTCCTAACAGATAATGCAAACAATCTGTTTTGAAGCCTATCCTTGACCTCCCCCAGTGGGGTGTATAAGCCGGTTTGGCCAGCTTCAGGAGACCCAGGTCAGACAAAGGAACTTTGTAGGGGCATAAAAAGGGGACCATAGAACAGGAAGAGAGTCTGCAGGGAAGCAGATGGAACCCCTGTCAACAGAAGCAGAAGTACCTGGGATAAGCTGGACTTCCCTAGGCTTTGAGGGAATGCCAAGCTGTAGGGAAGACAATATGCGTGTAGGCCTTCTGTTGTTTTAACCCTTTTCTCTGATTGCTGTGCTACTATATATAAAATTTTGTTTTGAAAAAGCTGCTTTGAGTCACTGTTTACACCTACTGGCCACAGCTCCTGAAGGGAAGGCTCTTGCAGGTGCCAAACCCAATTGGGCCTGTTCAGGAATCATGGTAAGTAAACGGGGATGCTGTAGCCCAGAAACCCAGTCTGAGTGGGAGAATCATGGAATTCTACTCCCAGACAGAAGGCAGGGGCCCAATGTCTGAGGGGTTTACTCTGGAGAGATCTGTGAGGGGAAAAGGTGCAGTTTACACTAACTGTGACAATGCTGTTACAGCATGTCAATCGTGTAAACTGATTCAATTCAATCACCACACTAAGATATTTGTACTGTAGTCTGCTAAAACTGCTCTCCTTCCCCTGCCCCATTCGAAGTTTTCTATCAACTTTCATAGTGTATTTAATCTTTGTAAAAACCAATGACCACTGGGCAGCACTGGAAATAGAAGACCTCTAGTTACCAACAAAGCTGGTATTGCAAGGGCAGCAGCAGTGCAGGCTTTCCACACTGCCCTATTAAATGTGTCCCAACCACGACCTGAAGAAGTCATCTCTAGGCCTAAAACAGGTGAGTTTTCACATCCATTCCACTTTTAGGCTCAGACTGTAAAAAAAGTGCCAATTAATGCCAAACTACATATTGTTTGCACTGTGAGCAAGTCTGAGACCAACGCATAAGGTAACCAAGAGCCATCACATACTGTATATGAATTGTTTCCAGTCCTTACCAACCTGAGCCAGCATAACACCTGGAATCAGTACGCTCCATTATCAAACCCCCAGTCATCTAGTCAATGAGTCTTGCCTTTCTTTCTGAAAGGGCAGAATATAGTATATTCTAACTTCTACCCAAGAGAGAAACCTGAACTCCATCACCCTTAAATGCTCATCCCATTCATAAATGGGTTAATATGGCGGGTTGACTATAATAGTAGGGGACTGGATTTAACAATCCAGGAGGGCCCTTCCAGTCCTATGTTCATTGAACAATGTATGAAACCAAGCATGATACAATGCAAAAAGTGAAACTGTAATACATCAAATAGAGAACCATTCAGGATTTCAGATACGATTAGTTCATATATGTTTCTGCTTCTCAGGGAGGTATTTGCTATATGATAATGGTGAGGAAACAAGTTTAAGTGGATTTAACCACTTCTATCCTGCTGGACATAGCTGACATGTGGAGCAAAATGCATCAGATGCTTCTTCCAAGTAAATCACTTAATCGTGTGGGTGCTCCATTATCCTGTCAGAACTTCAGAATAAAAGGTACCATATTCTGTTTTAACGAAAGGGTTAAATGACATTTCCTACCTCCCAATTTAACTTTCTAAAACCAGTCAAGTGTAGCCTAAAGAGTGCATAATGGCACTGTACTAGTACAGAGACTGGAAACAAATAAAAGCTTGGGGGGGGAGGGGGGAATATTTGCCCTCTACAAAGAGCTGTACTGGCTCAGAATGCCACTTTACTTGCTGTGTCCCAGTAGGTAGAGGCTTCAGTCAAGCTGGGCTAGTGGGCTTCAAAAGAGTTTCCTTCTCCCTAACTTTTTTGTATTGGCATAACAAGTTTGTAAGCTGAGGGCTTCCCACAAGACATTTGTTATTTTCCTTTCCCTTGCTCCCTCTGAAACTCTCTACAGAACTGCTTGCTGGTTTGGGGGTTTTCTGCTCCCTTTTGAGATAGGAGAGACCATTCTAGCACTACAGAACCACAGGGATAGATGGAACCTCAGCTAAGGGGGCTTTGATATACGGCACTTTATGCAAGTGCTAAGAAATATCAGCACTGATGTGATGTATTTAGCTTCAGGCACTCTAGACGCTAATTAGTTACTCTAGTACTGTCAAAGTTTGACTTGGTTGACGTTATTAACATTTGGAAATAGAACACTAATCACATTGTAAATGAGCACGTGCTATATGTCAACTAGCAACAGAGTACCACAGAATTAAACAGCAGAGAGTACCAAAAATAGAAATTGGTACCTGCCACTGCCTGTTGGTAATAAGAAGAACTACAATCCATCTGTTCTGAATTGGAGTATTGATGGCATAGACTAATTCTTTTGTGAGATGGGTAGAAGAATATGGCACTAGTAAGACAAAGTATCTAATGGAAACTGTTTTTAAGACGAAGGCTGCATTATTTATTACTGTATTCATAGTTTGGTACATTATAAACTGATTTGGATGTGATTTTATCTGAAGCTCCAGACAGCAGTGTTCTTCAGTCATCCTGGGTTTGATCAATTCAGCTATTGATGGTGGCCTATGTAATTTTAAAACAAGAGTTTTGCCTTTTTCATCCCCTCCACCCCCTACTCCACTATGTAGAAAGAGGGAATTAGAGCAGGGTCATTGTGAGAGGAAACATTTATGGAACAGGTGTGACGTTATTGACATGAACTGTGACCGTATAGATCATTGTTGCAACCAAGGTCATATAGTGGCAGCATATATTGTACAAAGGTTGTCATGTGAGGTCTATGAAGAGGTTATGATTTGCTGGTTATAATTATGCTAGATGTATGTGTGTATCATTTTTGTATTTGAAGTTATGAATATGGGCTATGTACTTGTATCTTAAATGTTTTTGATTCTAAGTAGCCTCAGTGAAGCATTTGGTCAGCTTCTTGAGAAAGGACTATTCTCAGTAAGTGCCCAATCAAGAAACACTTAACTAACAATGAACTTTGGGAGACGCCAATCCACATCTGACCTTTCCTGGGAACCTTCAAACATGTAAACAATGGCGGCCTGTAAAGAACTGAGTCATGCATGGACATGTGACTTGCTCATGAGACTAGAAACTCCATCTTGCTGTGATTTTCCACAGTCAGAACAAAGGGGTGTCCTTTCACAGGGAGAGAAGATAAAAGGCTATGGAAACTCCTCCATCTTGTCTTCAATCCTGCATCTGACCTCTGGAGGAACTTTGCTACAAACTGAAGCTCTGAACAAAGGACTGAATGACCCATCCCAGTTGTGGATGTACTCCAGAGGCTTGATTTGAACCTGCAGTTTATTCCATCACTGCTACAAGCCTGAACCAAGAACTTTGCCATTACTGTATGTAATTGATTCCATTTAAACAATTTTAGCTCTCATCTCCATCTTTTTCCTTTATGAATAAACGTTTAGATTTTATATTCTAAAGGATTGGCAACAGCGTGATTTGTGGGTAAGATCTAATTTGTATATTGACCTGGGTCGGGGGTCCTTTGGGATCGGGAGAATTTTACTTTTCTCTTTTACTGGGATATTGGTTTTCATAACCATTCATCCCCCATAACGAGAGGCACTGGTGGTGATACTGGGAAACAGGAGTGTCTAAGGGAATTGCTTGTATGACTTATGGTTAGCCAGTGGGGTAAAACCAAAGTCCTTTCTGGCTGGCTGGTTTGGTGTGCTTAGAAGTGGAGAAACCCCAGCCTTGGGCTGTAACTGCCCTGCTCTAAGCAATTTGTCCTGAACTGATACTCTCAGAAGTGTTCCACCAAAGGCAGCATCATTACAACAGGTAAATTAAAAGGGCATTTTAATGAGAAGGGGGGAGGGGGTGAAAGGTAGGCAATTTGCTTTTTGCAGTTTTCTTCAACGCTTCCTGGGGCAATGCTTGGACCAGCTGCTACTTATACAGAATTTTGAGAAATTAAAGATGTTGCTTACTTACCAAGAAACAAGTAAAAAAATATGGTTAACACATGGAGAGAGTGTACGTGTGGACTCTTAACCAATCTTACCAACAGCTTTCCACAGACACAAATTAGTTAGCCCAACTTTTTCCCATTACCAATCTGAATATCCTCTCAACACCATCAAACAGGAATAAATATTCACATAAATGGAGTTACACTGGGGTGATGAGAATTATATCTAGCTTTACAGTTTCTTAAAAAAAGGTTACAAAGAAAAGTCATTGAGGAACCAAGAAGCATGTTTGAATTGCTTAGAAAAATTATAAAAAGAGTATTTACAGATTAAGCTCTACTGTTTAGATTAAATGACCAAGAAGTGGGCTTTCATCAGTGAACACTCATGTCATCTTTCCTCTCACTTCAAAGAGAAAATAATTTTATGCATATATAAAAAGATTGATGCAGTATAAATCATTTTATAACCAGGTAAGCATACACCTTAAACTCACCTCAGCAACTCTCTCCAGAAGAGGTTCCAGCCAGTGCTCATTGCATTCACAGTGACTGTCCAGGAATGTCAGTACTTTAGCCTGTGCTGCATCTGCCCCTCTGACACGGGAGCGCATCAAGCCTGAGGGGAAAAAAAATCTAAATAAGTCATCACAGGAGGAGGAATATCAACAGTAAAGAGACAATAACTAAGTGCTCTAAAATGTAATTAGTACTCCAATGCAGTCAGCCTGTTAACAAGCCTAGCTATAAAACCAGCTTTTAGTGTAGATTTAGTGAAATGATGAGAGGATAAAATGACCAAAAGTGACAAATTTCCAATCTGTTGAAGGCTGGTCTACAGTTTTTGTACTTAATTATTTTAATTAGGTGTGATTTTCTACCAAAATAGTCATACTAGTGCAACCCCTAGTGCAGACACAGTAATACTGGTATACATGGTGCTTTGACAGTATATCTTAATTCCCCTTTCCTTACAGCAATAACTATACTGGTATAAGTATCTTCACACCTGCATAACTCCATCCACACCAGGAAGTTGTACTGCTTTCAACTATACTGGTATAGTTAAGTGGTATAACTTGCATGCTTAGACAAGCCCTAACTTTCCCAAGAACTTGCTGTAGTGGTTCCTGTCACAGGCAGTGGCAGATTTGCAAAAGGGGACACCATTGCCAAAACTCTCCCCTTCCCTTTTACCTCAAGCCTCCTTGAGCACACTTTCTGCTCCTCCCTCTTTGATTGCTTCTAGTCTGGCATCTGACCCTCTCAACTGCATCAAAACTGTTCTGACAAAACTAGGACTTTTTATTCCATGTTTAAGCGCCTTCTCCATTTCCAATCCTCTGTTCCTTGGGCTTCTGTGACGGTCTTCTCTGGTGGTTCTCCTACTTGGCTGACCACTCCAAAAGAACTTTTGGTGAACACACTTCTCCCCTTTCCCCAGAGTAAGTCCCTGGGAGATTTACCCTTGTTCCCTCCTTTTTATCCTCTCCTCTACCATTGCTAACTGAGTGATCTCCTCTGTTCCTATGGTCTCTTACCACGTCTATGCAGACAACTCAGATCTACCTCTCCGCCCCCAACTTCTCCCCATCTGTCTCATCTCTCAATCAATGTCTCACCTCTTACTTAAATTAAACATAGTAAATACTGAACTCCCTGACTTACCACGTCTTCATCACTGTTCACAATCCATTGTTTTCACTGTTGTTCAAGATCACAACCCTGGGATTATATCTTTCCTTTTCTACTTATACTCCAGTTCCCATCAAATCTTGTTGCTTCTCCATCTACAAATGTTCTAAAAGCCACCCTTCCTCTCCATCCCCACTGCCAAAAGCTTCATTCAAAAGCATAACTTTGTCATATGGACTACTGCAACCTTTTCCCTCTCAGGCATTCCCAACTCATCTTTCCCTTCCTTCAGTCTGACATTCAGCAGCTAATGAAGTCCTGAAGTCTCTTTCACGATGTCTTTCTACATGAAGTTTAATCACCTCATCCTCACTTTTAAGTCTCTACCCTGCTTACATTTCATCTCATTTTCCCCACCTCGCCCTTTGTGCTCTGACCACCTTCACACCTTATTGCTTCCTTTGTCTCCTTCCCACTCTCACCTACATACTTTTTGTTTGTTTGCTTGTTTTTAAATAATTGCGCCCTCCATGTAGAACATCCCACTGGGGCACCAACCACCTTCATTCTTCTCTTTCAAGTCCCTTTTCCCAAAATACAACCTTTGGATTTTGCTTGCATTAACTTCCACTCCCAGGATGTCTTCTCTACTCCCTTGCACTATGCCTGAAAAATATCAGGCTTTCCAATTTGCTTGCTCTGACTCCTTTTTGTTTTAACTCATCCCCTCATTTTCCTACCTTTTTCCTTTGTCCATCTTCACGTTCTGCTTTTCTAATTTCTTATGTTACACTTCATTTCTCTTATTTTTGCTCCTCTTAAGTTTTAATGTTCAGATCAATAAGGTATCAATTTAGTACTATACTTATTTACTTTCTATATTTGTTTTGTACATAATAGTAACACATGCTTTTGATAACAAAATGTTTAAATGTTTTCAATGCATTGTTTTTTGTTTATATGGCTCTTTGTAAACTTGTATATGGTTGTACATTTAGGGAAAAAATAAAAATCTTAATAAAAACAGACTGCTTGTTCTTCAGGGCAAGAATCATATCTACTCTCTAAAACACCATGCAAAATGAATCCACTCCCGTTAATTGTTCATAAATTGTTTTTTCTGGGACATGCATCATTAGTAAAAGATGTGTCAGTCAAATTATGTCTTCGATTACACTTGTGCAATCCTGCTCTCTAGATGTATGAACCAAAAAGAATTTAGCTCACCCTCTCTACAGTTCTACAGTACTGTGAAGAATTAAAAACACACTAAGATCTCTACTTTAAATCAGTTTTCCAGTGACAATTATCTTGTTCTTTTTTACTTTAAATGCAGTTATGATCTGAAAAATGACATCCTCTTATTCAATAGACCCCAGTCAGTGTTTTAAGTCATCAGTGCTTTTTTTTTTTCTGACAAAGTATTGCTTACAAGCAAAGTCCAAACAATATATTCAAGCACTGTACACCCAGCAGAGTGGAAATTCTTGTGCAAAATATACCTTAAGTTATACAATGTCAAGAGGTTTCACGTGTCAATTCCTGGTTTTGGACAATCTCTTATAATTACTTAAACATCCAATAATTCTAGCTGCCCCAGAGGCAAGACTGGCAGCCTCGTAGGCAAATATTTATAAAAGTGAATAAGGACATGTCTGATAGTTCACTCTCAGCTACAGTAGCTGTCAACCTCACAAAGTTACATCAACAAACAGCTGTAGGACAGTCTCCCATGTCTCTAAGGTTTTAAACCCCATATTTAAAAAGCTGCTGTCTGAAGGGTTCCTATGCTGTGAAGCGAGAGACTAGTGTGCAATGTCAAGGGGAAGAAAGAGCGAGACAGAGGAAAGTGCCTGAATCAGATTGGAAAAGTACCTTATTTACACACCTAAACATTACTTTTTATTTGTTGCATTACTAATCCACGTATACTTTTTTGCACAAAGAGATACAGAATACATAGCACATATTTAAAAAAAATATTTCAAGTTCACTCTTAACAAAAAGTAACTACAGGCCTAAAATCCAAGGCATTTTCCCCTCCCCAAAGTAATTTTACAAAACGCACCTTCTCGACGATCATTTCGAAGAACCCGCACTTTCTCAATTTTCCCCAACAGAGCACCATCCTCAGCTAGATGAGACATGAATTAAATAAATGACATGCAATTTGACATAATCATTAAAAGAAATCATAAAATTAGCTGTTTCACCAATGAAAAGCAAAAAATTCAAGTTTCAAAATATTTACATTTTAACGTACTTATAAATTAATAAAAAGGTAAAATGAATCTCTCGTCTTGTCACAAATAGGTTTTTATTCAACTGAAAAACTAAGCTTGCCTTAAGTTTTCCAATATTTCTGATGTGATGAACTTCTAATGTGCTACAAAATGCATGTTCCTGTAAATTAAAGGTATCCTGCCAACTTTATTTTAGGCACGTTTTGCAGAAATAGGCTTTTAACAAGATATATTAATAAAAATAACTGATTTCTCTTTAAACATTTTTTGAAAAGGCATTATGTCTCTGCAGTGTCTATAACCCAAACTTCGCAGTATCCTGCTAATATATGTGAACTCACCAGTGAAATGAAGTAGATGCTGATTTGTAATCAGAATTTATACTTACTGGCCTAATTTCATTGTTCAAGGTGTCAGCCCCCTTGTAAAGCAGTGATATCAAATGACTGGTACAAATATCAGAAGTTTGTAATAAAAACGTTAATACTATGGCAAGCTCTTTCTTCTGTTTGGGCTGCACCCAGCAAGATGTGATTAAAAACTACATACTGCATGTTTCTTCATAGTTAAATGGCAATGACAATAATTCTGACAGAACTAAAATCAAATATGGAACCTGAAACTCCAAACTACAAGTCACATGAGTAAGGATATTGAAGGCTCAGGCCCCACGATAGTACTTACGATCATTGCTGTAGTCATCCACCAGTATGATTTCTTTGATAAGATGTGATGGGCTTTTTTTAAGCACACTGAAAAAAGAGAAGTCAGATAACTAAATTAGGGTTCACCTTCCATATTACAGTTATGAGAGTGACTTGCAGGGCAACAGGATCTCTCTCTCTGTATACCTGACAACAGTTCGAAGTAAAGCAGATCTGGCCTCGTTGTGGAAGGTGATCACTACACTAGTGGCTGGCAGGTCTATCCGCCATTGTTTCCGTTGACACCTAAAGACAAAAAACCCTGTAATTTAAACTCATAGTACTCACATTGCAAAGAACTCCATTATGAAGCTGTTACCAATAAAATTAATGTATGTCCTACCATACATCTACCTTAAATATTCTTCAGAAGATTGAAATACTTGGCTCTCGTGAGTAACATTAGAATAAAGTAATTTCCTTTTTCTGATAATTCTGGTAACTGCTCTAAGCAAAGTACTTTGTTTATAGTTCACAAAATTATAACAGCTATGTGCTGGCCATATTCAAGGACTAGGTAAGCCTCTCCAACCAGTGACAAAAGGGCTTAAATTTGATTTGCTATGAGCCCACAGATAACCCTTTATTAAAAGTATTTATACAGTACTTTGTATTTCAGACTAATTTATTGAGGAACCATTTGAAAGCATGTGATTTTTACAGTTACTTAAACAACAGGTTTCAAGTGTTCACCTTTCTCTGTCAAAATGCACACAAATATATCTAGAGTTTTCAGGGATGCATAGCATGTATCTGACAAGTGTAGATGTATGTATATGCTATTACGATCAATGTTTGGTAAAAACTATGAATTGACATGCAAGGGCTGCTATGTACACTGTGCAACAGTGACAAGCAAGGCAGAGCAAGCAGATGGCAGAACAAGTTGGAGCTCTTTTGTCACTGGAGAGGTTTCAGCTGTTGCCTGAATTTGGCCAGCATGCAAACATTCTGACATTTAACTGTTTTGTTGCCTCATCACTTTAGCAGATGATATGGGAAAGGTGCTGAAAGTGAAATCCACTGGGAGAAGGGAAAACAGAAGATAGGGAAAGAAGAGAAAGAAAAGGCAGAAATAATGATGGTCCTGAAGGTGAGCCTACTTTCCCAGCGAGTGATTGAATGCAACAATAAAGTACTGAATAAATAAATAAATAAATAAATAAATAAAAGATGGGGCAAATTGATGTAGTACTCAATTCTCATATGGCAATATTGCTTAAGCACAGCAAGAAACTGCTTTGAAACCTTCTTGTGAAGTTGCTGTATGCATACACAATTTTATTCAAGTTGTGAGTTGTATTTTTTTAAAAAAAGCTGGTAATTAAAATTGGCATTTCAGACTACTGCTTGTGGCAACAACTTGATTGAAGAGCAGCATTAAGTAGGGACATTTTATTGAAAAGTAACA